TTCAAAAAAATAAATTTACCATAGTATTCTATACACTTCACTTGACATTCGTGCAAATTTTCGCGGCGATCGGCTGTTTCACGGCCGAGATCTTGGGGGGGGGGGGGGACGGCATAATGCCCCCCCCCCGGCCGTATTAAGACCTCAAATAGCCCGGCCTTTTTAGGGTTAACTCGAGCTGGAGGATGAGAAAAAACGAATTGTTAACAAAATTATCAGAATTTTTCTAACATCTTAAAATCCTGCTTCTCCAATTGCGAGGACTGCCATTTCTTCATTCAATTGATTTTGTTGTTTGTTTCAAATCATTAACAATCAGGGGCGAAGATCCCGGGGGAACGTGGTGGACACATTCTCCTGGAAAGTTGGAAAATTTGCGCGAACTTGGTGACCAAACTTTACAACATCATACGCGGTGTCGTGCTTTTTAATTTGCTGAATCTCAAGCTTGGAAATATTGTTGCTAGATCTCTACGCTCTCTCCAAAAATATCTAACAATTCCAAGTTACGCACTGTAAGAAAAGAGCTATTGGAAGTACAAAAAGTATCGAAAATTGATGCTTGGTCGCCGCGCTTTCTCGCACAAATGGTAAGAGCAACAAAAAAAAAAAAAAAGAAGAAGAAGGATATAACTATCCGAGAGAAATAGTTTTATACTACACCATTCTTTTAAGGGGAAGGCTCCCCACGCTTAACCGTTTCACTGGTTTATGCCTTCTCACCGGTTATTATAATGAATCACGGCCATGTTTACAACAACTTTGATTCTTCCCTACTTCTTTAGTGAAAACACAAGTGTCCCATTTAATTGATATTAGGACGATGACACGATCACTGTGGTGATGAATGAGTTTTCTGACCAGCAAGGTGATTATGTACGTCATCCCTATGAGTATTTTATTCCGTCTGGGACACACATGTAGGCTTATCAAGGGCGAGTCTCTACTCTACTTATCATTGTAGGTTAGCAATTGGTGTTAATGAGTTAAATTGAATTGAATTGAATTTATTTATTCACGGTAAAACTCACATCAGCCTAAACAGACTGCTTTTCAGCAAGTCCGTGTAAAAAACATAAAACAGATCATAAATACATATACATAAATAAATACGTAGGAAAAACTAATTAAAGATGACAAACATGTATATAAAACAAAATCCATTAACAAGCTAGTTAATTAAATAATAACAATCATAAAGATATATGATATAAAAAGTTTCATATGAATAAATTAGGAAGAACAAAATTAAGTAAGAAGCTAACATATTAAATGAAAATAACAGACATGTGTTATAAAAAAGTGTCATTTTAATCAATAGGCATAGGGGAAGATTAGAATGGGATAGGATGAGAAAAGAACAAAGAAAGAGAGAATGTAGATCTCTCTACTGCTTCATTCATTAACATCAATTGCTAAACAACAGTGATACGTACATCTTCAAAACAAAATAAAACACAATTACTTCATACATTTCCTTATTCGTTTAAAACAATAATAGTATTAATTATAATAATGATAAAGTACTTAGTCATTTCATTTTCATTTTTTCTTCCAAAAACGCTTTATTTGTTGAAGTAAAAAAAAGAAAAAAATGATTGTATATGAAAAAATATAGTCGGTCAATAACCAATAAAGATAAAGTTACAGTACCGCTTCTGAAAAGCGAAAAAATCCCCCCTGCAGAGAGAGAGAGAGAGAGAGAGAGAGAAAGATTAACAACAAACTAAAAACACAAAACCTTCCAAGGCCTCTCATTTGTTTAAGTGAACTGAAAGAGTATCCCTTTCCATTGCAAGTTTGTTTTCTTCTTTTCTACTTTCGAGAAATTTATCTTTTACTTCATCTAGATTTGGAGGGAAGCTTTCGTATGGAAGAGAGCGGGATTTGCAGAAATCATGAATGGCTCCATTGTGACGTCATGTTTCCATTTGTTATGTTATATAGTTGCCTGACAAAACAATTTTTTATTGTTAAATAGCCCTGAATAAGTACATTGGGAATAGGATTGGAGAAATGGGCGAATGACTGAATTAGTTTGGTGTTTTTCTTTATTTCTTCAATACTTCAAAAGAAAATACATTTAGGCTTCCGTTGTTATTTCATGACTCACATCCGATTTGCCGGTGTGAATGCGAGCCATTCATCGGCTTTGGAAGAAAAGATTTTGTGAAATCGCATTGATCTACGTAGATCTGTCATTATCAATGATGTATCTACTGCAAACAAGAAAATCACTGTTGTCTCCAAATTCGAATCTAATTCGCTCACTTATCAATGATTTATGGTTAAACAGTGAGTCTTTGTTATTCAGATATCTTTGTTACATTCTTTTTAGGTAGTAGACCCGCAGTTTAACTTTCTGTTCCATTTTGTGATCTAACGTCACAGCTCAGTCGACAAAAATTTGGCTACAGTGTATCTTGCGTTTGAAAAGTTAAGTTGATCTTTGTAGATTTTTCAAAGCTGATTTTTTATTTTAAGTGAGCATGGATTTCTGTGTATAGTATATGATGAAAACTACATTTTCATTGAGCACATATCCATCCCAAGGAATGTCCAATATGCTTACAAAATAGTATTCTTATCATGGCTTTAGCCCAGCTCCTCTAAGGTGCTGAAAACATTCGAGGAATACATTTCTAGGAGGTACCCTTTTACCTGGGTGGAGAGTGGAACATGAATACCAAGATCTTACTAAATGACATTTGTACCGCGGTGACGCATTAGGCTACGATATTCTGTTTGAATTTGAATTTGAATTTTATCAGTAAACTTCATTCATATACATGAGAATTTTGTTTCACAATACATATATAAAGCAATTATATAAACAAGAAAATCAACGGGTGATATAGTTTCTCGAGTAATCACAAATTAACAATAAACATTGTGGCTTGTATATACAGTGGTAAAACAATATTATAACTAATAATTATATGACACGTACCAGCTTGTTTTATGCTCTGAACTATTTTAATATTTCGATATAACATCACTAACGCCGTTTTTGATAGAAAAAGGAACATTGACTTTGCTATTGTGCATTCGTCACCCTTGCATTACTATTTCGAAGATCAGGTTCATGGTTTGTGTTTCCCTGTCATGCATGTTGCGATTCCAAACCCCTAAGCTATTAAAGGTATTACAAAGTTTTGGTATGGGGTCATGAATTTGGTTCAAATTAACATATTGGAAGCATATGCGTTCCTACAATATACATTGATCGTTGTCGCGGTTGAAATCGAGTCTAAAGTTATGAAATTATAAATAATAAACTCTTTATGTTGTATAGCTCCCTCTCAAGGTCAAAATATTAATTAAGCTATGAAACAATGTTTCTTGACTGAAATCGACCGATTAGCTATTCCCGTTTGGAAATTATATATCCCAACTACATATTCTGAGATAGGCGCTATTTGAAATTTATCAAAATTTACCGGGAGCACCGGAAAAATTTTATATTCAATTTTTCTTGAAAACAGAAGTGTTTTAGGAGCTATTTTTTTAGTGCTTATAATACATCCACAGGGGCATCGAAATATATCAAAATTGTAAAGATTCACTATCCACCCAATTTTCAAAATTTCCCAAAACTTTGTATTACCTTTAATATCACGGTTAATGGAATGTCCATTATAAAGTAGGTCAAATGCTGCTTCTGTTTCATTCCTTTTCTTGCGTTTGCTATCTGAGACTCTCTTAGGAATTTCAGACCAACATGAGCTTGAAATTAAACCCCAACCGACCCAAACAAACCTCCAACTCACAGATACGTGATGATGGACGACTCTCTATAAATCCAAGTCATGACTTCTCTAATTTTGCTCACAAGTAAAACGGAACCAAAGGCAGTCGTGTATTTTGAGCGGGAATATTTGGATACAAAATAGAAGATGAATTATGGTCCTTCCGATTTAACGAGGAGGAAGATTGAGTAACCTAAGGGGAAATCCTATTCAGTCTGGACAACGTGATGACATCTGATGTCACAAAAGGGAGAGAGAAAAAAGTTCTTATACAGCCTTTTTGAATCATCTTTGAGCTCCTGAAGGGCAGATTTCACAATGTCACATATTTTGCAAGCCATTCAGCCATTTTAGAGGAAGTTGGATCCTTGTCAATTATGACATCACAATAACATGCGAAGGAAAAACAACCCGACACCTTATCTCATTGCCACACACAACAAATTTATCCCAAAACTCTATAAAGAAACGTTGTATAAAGAATAATCGTATAGCTATATATAACATTTCAAGTAACTTGATCGCGAAGACTTATTATAAGGCAATGTTAGTATCCTTGTGCATCACTATATAGAACGTGCGATCTTACAAAGACATTATACAAAAGTAACATAACCCAGATATGGTTCAATAGGCAATCATCCTAATAGATGATTGAAATTGCCCTTGAATTGATTTCTCGAAAGTCTGTGCAATTTTTTTGAAAGATACAACAACTTGCACTCAGAATAAGACAGAAAGTTGATGGGAAATAAAAGGGGGTTGAACACGAGTACATATTTTGGTTTTGCTGGGTACCAAGAGATAGCAGAGTCTGGTCTACCGGATGAATAAAATATTGCACACTTAAGTCGCAAAAGTTGGTGTCATATAATTGCTATTTCGGGCTAAATTCTACCCAATATTATTTCAAAATGTTGAATTTCTAAAGGATATGTATATTTGATTATATGTTTTTGCACAAGTGCCCATTGAGCCTGATTTCAAGTGAATTCGGAATTCGGCGACTTACAAATACTGATTATTAATATTATTTGTTAGCATTGTTATATTACTATTACTATTATTAGTAGTAGTAGTAGTAGTAGTAGTAGTAGTAGTAGTAGTAGTAGTAGTAGTAGTAGTAGTAGTAGTAGTATTATCATTATTATCATTATTATTAGTAGTAATAGTATTGTTATTATTATTATTATTATTATTTATTTTTAAAAGTTTCTAACCGAATCTTGATTTGTTTCCCTTTTTGCACAGGTATGGGATGACGAGCTAACTCTTATGTCGAAGAAGTATGCCAAGAAGTGCATATGGGCTCACGGGCAGGCCATCGATTCCAAACAATTCAAACACGTCGGACAGAACTTGGCCTATGGGAAGAACCCCCGCGGGATAAACATGTCGCCATTTTACCTCGCTTCGTTATGGTACCATGAGAAAAATAACTACGATATCACAACGGATACTTGTAAACCAAATACACTATGTGGACATTATACACAGGTGAGTACAGGGAAGACTCGATGAGAATCGAAAATAATAAAAACAATAATAACAAGAAGAAGAAAAGAAGAAGAAGAATAATAATTCAAGAATGATAATCATAACAAATAAAAGAAAAAATTGATTAACAAGGAGAAACCTCACCAGCATCTTTGCTGTTCTTCCTGAGGGCCCTGCAAATAATATTTGCCCATCAATTGCCAGGGCCTCATTTACACGTGGGTGGAGAGTGGCAAATGTGGATTAATGTCTTCCCAAAGGACGTTAGCGCCCGGCTCGGATTCGAACCCTCAACCCTTACGTTGAGATTTAATTAAATGCAACACTATACCAGACACCTCCACACCATCAATTCTGTCTATCGTGATATCAAAATATTGAGAGTTAGAAGGGTGTTAACTCATATCATTTAACACACAGTTCAATTTCCTTTTGTTTTAGAACTGCATGATAATTTATGCATTTTAGATTCCATAGTTATGAATATTTTTTTCATATGATTTTGTGGAATAGACGTTGGTTGTATTTATATATTGTAAGAAAAGGAAAAATTAGGGACAAGTCACCCCCCCCCCCTCATTCAATGCACGGCGTTGAATTCTGTATTTGTCTGCACCCTTACATATGACATTGTTGTCTTGGTCCAATTGGCAATCTATTTTCGATAATAAATTTACCCTTCCAGCCAAACTCTCTTTTCTTTCCATTTTCCGACGGTTTTTTTAAATCGATTTCCCAACATTAATTAATCACGAAAACTATAATTTTGCGCCACTTTGCCGACCATAATGCCGCTCCGCTAATATGCTCCTGGGTGTTTAATTTTGATTACATCAATAGAACAATAATTTATGCTGCTTATTATGTCGGTTATCTGGTTGCTATACTTAACGTATACAAAACCACGAAAGGCAAGCTCGAGTAAGCCTCAAGGCTCAACTACACACCCACAACCAGAGTCTGTTACAAGAAAACTGCATCATTCATCATCTTTCAATGCGGCATTTCGTTTTCGTTTTATCTTGTAGGTGTTGCCATATGCAAACAGACGGTTTATATATCCCTTCTTTAACATCACCAATGGCCCGTAGAAACAGGAATATTTATGATTCCGAGTGTAAATACACAAAACAGTAGAAGAATGTTTATGACTCAGCACGCAAGTGTCGAGAGATCGACATTTATTAAAGGGGAAGTTCACCCTGAAATTAAGCTGGTTTTGATAGAAGCAACAATAACAAAAAGGAAAAAAGAAAGAAAAAAGAAAGAAAAATGAGAGAAACCGGGCAGTGAAAGTTTGAGCTAATTTCGATTAAAATAAAAAAAAAAGTTATGCAAATTTAAAGCTGCTATCAATCAAACACAAATTGGCGACTCTGTAACGGATCTTGCCAGGTCCCCTACCATTTGCTCTGTTCAAAAAGAATATCATAGATTTAGATTTTCCCTCGAGAAAATTTGCAATCATACCCTTGATATAATTATTGCAAATATATTTCTATACAACCCCTTTAAGGAAAAAAAAAAATCTTTTCTGTCATCAATAATGAAGAAAATGATAGTTAATGCAATTTATGTACAAAGCAAATTGGAGAGAATCTCGCAAGATACGTCACAGTGATACCAAGTCGTGTTTAATTGATCGCAAATTCAAAAATTCTTAGCTGTCTTATTTGTAATCGGAATTTGCTCAAATTTTCACTGCCCTGTTCCCCACATTTGTCTGTTTCTATTAAAACCAACGTAATATCAGGCTAATGCCACATTCACATTCACTCAAATTTAACACCAAGTCACCACACAGCCAACACAATAACAAATATAGACGTTTCTTTTGTACAATGATATAGACGCGTTGCCTAGTAACGCTCGTATTTTTCAACATGGTGTTTAGCGTTTCACGCCCTAGTCATGGAGCGGAAAGAGTGAAAACAGAAATTGGCACAATCCAATCGGAATAGTATTTTGCAATTGAGTGAATCGAGTAGGTTTGGTCTCTAGGGCAGTTGTACAGTTTTGATGGGAGGAAGCTATTTATGATTAATGGTTTTGTCTGGCACGGGGGCGACAAACATGATTGCCTTGGGAAAGCGATCTTGAAGGAACTGAAATTGACACGGGTAATTTGACTTGAACTTAGTCAGGTGGTACAGCAAGTTAGTTAGGGGATATAGGAGGGAGTTAGGAGCGGTACCTATCTGACTTTGGGTTACAGATTAGTCTTTCGTATAGCATGTAGCATATATACCTTATGAAAGCATTTCTAATCCATTCAAATTTCTATAATTGATCAAGAGTAAATTTTTAATACGGTCGGTATGAAAATGACATGCACAAAATATATAATATTTAGGCTTATAGTAATAATCTTATCGTAGTGACATTATAGTATGGACATCTGATAGGTTGAAATTAATCAAAATTGTTGGAATTTTTCCTGAAAATATAACATTATCACAAAGGGAACAAATGATAATTATAGACAATCTTTCTTTTAAATCATAAAAAGCACTATGTGCTGATCTGTTACATTAGAGTAAAAACTACATAGATATCCACGATAAAATAGATTGATAAAATTACTTGAAAATCCGACATGTCCGGCAAGATATTCTTAGCTGATGCAATTTTAGATGTACCAGCTCTGAAATCGAAACTATAAAGCAATAATATGTCCATTGCCGGTTACTTGAACGAGGGGGGGGGGGGGGTGGGGTGCCCCCTATACGGTTGAGCATTTTTATTCTTGGAAGTTGCCCAAGTCTGGGCTTAATGCTTAGAAATTGGTAGGTTTTGAAATAACATTGTGGTTTAGAAAGGAAAGCAGTCGGAAAGAAATTAAAATACAACGATGATGATGACAACGCCGATAATGATGATGACGATGATGAGGAGAAAGAATAGTGGAAGTATGAGGAGAGAGGGGGTGGAGAGATGCTAAAGAGGAGAGGATCGTGACGAACACGATAATGACAACGATGGTGATGGTGAGGTGTAAAAGGAAAGAGGGTGACGATAACGGTGACGACGACGATGATGATGTAGTGATGATGAAGATAATGATGTTGATGAAAACGATGATGTGGATGCTGCAGCTGATGATGATAGTTAGTATAGCAACTGCGATATAAGGCACTAAAAGCTGGATCGGATATTCACCATTAAACAAGCTTAACATCAACCAGATGACAAGAATCTAGAATCGCTTTCAGAACTTCAACATATTTACAAAACAAGAAATTAAATTAATCGGTAAAAAACATGTTCACGTGACATGACCCTGCCCTACATTCTGGCATTCATTCGCTGAAACATACTACTTGTACATCATGAAGCTTAACTATTACGTGTCCTACGATACAATCACGAACAGAATATTGATTTGTTACATTACACTGTGAACTGATGTATATGATACATGTTTATATGTTTACAAACAGAATATTGATTTGTTACGTTGCATTGTAAATTGATTTATATGTTAATAAACAGAATATTGATGTACATCAAAGAAGTTTAATAAATACAATACATACACGAACGAAGGATTCTGAAATGATTATGTTGTTTTAACATATACGGTGTACCATGGAGATGACATGCTTGAAAACTCTTTTCGTGTACAATTCACTGCTCGATAATTACAAATATTAGACCAAATTTGTCGCCAAATCAATCAACTTAGCGTAGAACAAAAGTATGCGCACGAAAAACCACAAAAACAAAACGAACGAACCCCAAAATCCACAAAAGTCAACAGTGCATGTGACATCGTGAATATGTATTGCTTTGCTTAATTCAGCATCATAATCCAAACATTGTATCTGGTATTCAGACTACGGCTATACAATTTGCCACCTAAAAATGGCAGAGGGAAATTGCGTTTCGGCGCCTTCCATTGTGAATATTATTTATTAAAGTACATTCAAATGTACTTCACATCACCATTCAGCTAAAACAGAGAAATTGATTGATTTTGGGCACAGGGGACACATCAGATGTGTGCCCAACTGCGCATAGAAAAACAATTTAATTTCTAATAAAGATTTTTATGAGATAGTGGCCCCTTTTGAGAGCTCGATCAGATTACCATAATTAAAGAATTTATTGAAAATTTTTCCCATAAGGTTTTTATAGTCTGTGTTATCTTCAAAATTTCTAGTATACCATATTAATCCCAAAATATAGGCCAGTATAATGATGTTTCTACATACGGTTATCAGAAGCGTATCCACATAGGGGGAAAATTGCCTCCCCTTTATAACAAATATATTTACATTGGCAATATATATAATGGTATTTTTGGACTTTGACGGCTTTCAAATATTGATACATGGTTATCATTTTGGAGGTTCCTTTCATACAGTGGTTCTGGATCTGCCTTTGGATGATAATATTTTTAATCCAACCCAACTGATAACGGTAATTATGCCCATGTTTTCTTTTCTTATCAAATAAAATCTCGCTTTTTTTTCCAGATGATATGGTGGGATACTAATAAGCTTGGTTGCGCCTCACACTGGTGTGATGAGATGAACATCCCTGGTAGTACCATGGTCATACGAGATGCTCTCTATCTAGTCTGCAATTATGGACCGGGGTACGCAGATGTTTCTTCTTCTTGTTTTGCTCTTTCATTTTAAGAGATTTTGGGGGATTTTTTTTTCTTCTGGACAATCTGTACATTATACAACTTCCTTGTAATGATTTTTATCACTGCATGGTGATGAGACATTTCATTCAGCTGTTCCAAAATAGCATTGTTATCATATTTTGCGTCTTATAGTATTTGCTAGGTCAGATTAAGCTTCGACCAGCTTTCAGGTAATCACAAGCCCCATTTGCAATGGAAGCAAGGATGGTTATGAAATAGAGCAGTGACATAACCTACAATTCAAAAGTTCATTAAAAAAATTATCATCCCATCAATATATTTTTTTGCGTGATTTTGAGTCACAAAACTATTCAAACGCATGAGCGCACCATAATTATGTGGACTAAACCAGATTTTGATATGTTGGTGCAGGCTGGTTTGTAAACAGATGGATAATCTGCATATTTTCTATTCCTCTGTAGCAAATTGTAATTCGTCAATTTAGTTGATTTTTTTCACATATTAAATTCATCTTCATTTCATTCGGTAGTTATATCTTGCAATCATTTCCCATTTTCATTTGAGCCTTTCTAAATTTATTATCGTAAAAGGTGCCATTTCAAGAGTTGATCAAAAGTAAAAGTAAGACCTTGAACGTTTCTTATTGATTAAACGTAAGTGTGTCTACCTGCAATTGAAAATAATTTGGTAAGGAGTTAAGCATGTGGATATTACAGAAAGGTGCCATAATATTATATTGTGTCATTTCGATTCGAATATGGTATCTTGTTTTGTTTTTTCCCCACAGAGGTAATATCCACGGTAAAAAGCCATATGACATCGGGAGACCGTGTACACAATGTACTTCTGGTTCTGGGCGATGCAGAGACGGACTGTGTAGTAAGTGGATTGATTGATTGATTGAATAATTGATTACTTTATTATCTTACCTGATTGCTAAGAAACCAAGTATGTGCTTTTAAGTAAGCATCCAGTAGATCTACATCATTAAGTCTAGTTTCTCACAAAGGCGCATCATTATTCTTGTATTTTTATTGCATGATTGAAATCACGAAATTTGCCAACGTATGAACACAGCCTGTGTTGACTGAGTCAATGTCAATGTTACCATCCGGCTAGCGATCTCCTACAAGTGCCTTTAACACGAGAGTGAGTACGAGAGCCAAGGTTGTCACTGTTATAACCCCACGAGGAGGCCTGGAGGAGACAAGATGAGAAGGAAGGATGGGGGGTCCCTGCCTCCCGTAAAGCCACCACTGTAATAATGTTAATCACGAACGCATATTTTTTTTTAAAAGTCTTTGGACACCCCTTCCCCTTAGTAAACCAATACCTATGTTCCACACGTGTCATATTATAGGCCCTATAATATATATAGATAGGAACAGAGGTTGGATTTTAAATTGTGTTTCATTAAATTTGTCGCTTGTATAAAAATGTATAACGGCGACTCATACCCCGGTTATACTCCTCCAGAATGAAATATCCCATCAGGATATCATCTTTATTTTACTCGGTGTCTGAATGTCGGGGTTTTTATCTGATGATATCTACCATGACTGTTTAGAGCAGGGAAGAGCTGTATTATAGTGAGCAGAGTTACATGTATATTGACATGGAATATCCATATCAATAAAGCGATTATTTATTTCTACCTCATCCCCTTAAGTAGTATGTAAATATTGATTCGGTAAATGTCTGAGATACAGATATAAGTAGTAAAAGATTTGACGTCAATTTGTTACTTGCATCTTCTATTTCTATTCACCCCCTTCGTCTCTCTCTCTCTCTCTCTCTCTCTCTCTCTCTCTCTCTGTCTCTCTGTCTCTCTCTGTCTGTCTGTCTCTGTCTGTCTCTCTCTCTCTCTCTCTCTCTCTATCTCTCTCTCATCTCTCTACCTCTCCTCTTCTTCTTCCTCCGCTCCCCTCTACTTGTTACTCTATATCTTTATCTCTCTCTCTCTCTCTTTTCTCTCTCCCTGCCTTTCTAGACTGACTATATTTGTCATACCCACGCTCAGCTCTGTCTTTGTTTATGCTTGAATTAATTGGCCAATTAATCATTAGAATATTTAACCAACGATTAACTTATGATTACAGTGTTACATAACGTATCTAACTTGAATATGAAAACTTAAGCATACACGCTCTGTTGGAAAGACTTAATCGTGAAACAAAATGTTAATATTATTAAACATTCCTGTACAATTTACAAGCAATCGCGATCAACAGAAAAATTCTTCATAAAAAATATTATACGTATAAGTATAATCGCAGTCTACGAAATTGAATTATGCGCATTGGTCTTTTTAATGATTATTCAAATCGTCATTCATCTCGTCAGTTTCTTCCGCATTAAGAAAATGCACACTTTTTTTTGCTCCATATCTAAATATGTAAAAATGCATACATCACCGAGTCAGTTGTAGTCTACATATCCCTTAAAGATACTATGTCCCTTTTGCAGCCAACATCAAATTCTGTAGAACTTTGCAGGAATTGTTAATATATCATGTATGTCCTATCTGTGAAATGTATACGTTAGCAGTGTCCTTATATTCAAATTATGCAAGGAAATCGTTTACTTGCTAGACTTCACTGTCAGACACTATCGAGTGACTGACTGGCTTTTTTCTTCTTTGGTAATAACATACATACAATGAGCTGTGAAGGGTATATGAGCATTTGTCGACATCAATAACCCACTTCTTGTAATGGCCAAAATTAAACTGATTGAATCTTTGCGCAGCATAAAACTTACGACCATTCGGTACAATGGTCTGAAAATCAGACTATTACTTACTGGCTCTATAGCTCTTAAGTCGATTCGACAACTAATGGTCGTTATTTTGCCACTTTAAGAGATTTTCAAGCCCCCCTTTTTTTAGGGAAGTTCTAAGTTAGTATTATCTTTCAAATGCCGTTGGAATTTAACCTTTTCATTTTTGTTTGGCCTGCAAATGCGACATAGTACCTTTAAACTCTCATTAAGAAAACCCTAAAATCTTGAGTAAACAAGGAAGCGCACTGACAACCCTTAATCTTACTCGTTTTGGAGGTGATTGTTTATGACGTATCTCAACAAATGTAAACCGAAATGACCTTTTCCCGAGCAGGGGTTCTCCTCTTTTTCCGATGTCGGATGAAAGGAAATCGTCCCCCACAATTTTACAAATGAGTGTGGTTTCTTCAAAGAGTCCATCTTCTAAATCCTTGTATTAACACTGGCAATGGATACTATGGGTATAAAGTGGTATTGTGGCTAGAGGTTTACAGGAGGGTTGAAGAGGCAACGTCCTCAGTAAAAATAGCTGTAACAGATGGTCTGGTTAAGACTTTCATTTGGGCAAATATGCAACTATAGTTTTAGAATAATTATTTACAATATGTCTATAAACTAACATTTTGAATGGGTTAGTAAAAGTATCTGTTTTAATATGCTGAAACAGTTCTTATAAAACTAAATGGGCCGACGCCATTTAGATTTCAAGAGCACTGTTCCACAGGTAAAGACTCTGGTCTTTCACACGCACGGTCCGGGTTCGAGCCTTGTTCGGTGCTTAAATGCCCAGATAAGGTGTTTTGCCCACATTTGTCCCTCGAGAGCCAGGTGCCTTCAAATATAATGATATGAAACTACCCTGGGCGATTATGACCATGATTAGATTAAACTAGGATTTACGATAGTTTCCAAGAGAAAAAAAAAGACATAAGGGTCCTCACTTAAAATATTCCGTTGAAATCGAAAATGTATGGATGAGCTAAAAATGAATAATGCCACTAATGTATTTGCAAAGAGCGTGAAGCAATGCAAGAGGATGGGCATGATAAGTAAAATAGTGGTGTTTAAACTGTGTAGAAGAAGGAGCAATGGTTGTATTAATTGATTTGCAACCAAATTGAAATTGCTGCTTATGATAGTGGCTCATCTTGGTGAAAGCACGATAACACGAATTTCTTATGAGGAGAGAAATGATTAATTGCAGGAGATAAGACTACCAAATCACCCTGCTTTCCGACAGGATTTCATAAATTGATACTATCTGTTATTGAAGGTTTTCTACCGGATAGTACGCAGTTCCTTTGTTGATGCCAATAAAGCCAAAAGAAGGGGAAATGATAGTGCTCACTGGTGGATGGTGAAGGGAGGATTTTACAACCGATCCGCACCTCTTTTAAGACCCAATTGGCATACATAAATTACACGGCAAAAAGTGCCCCCCTTAAAAAAAAAATGTTCGACCCAAAAGGCACCTGGCAAATCTGATCTGGTTTTCTTTTCCACTTATCACAATATTTTCTTCGAACTGGTGCCCCCTTTTAAAATCCTACATCCGCTCGTGGTTCCCGTGGTTATGCAATTACTGCGGATGAAGCCAAAACAAGAGGACGTTCATTCACATTGACGACGATCATCATGATGACAATGCTAGGCAACAATCATAGTTCAAATGACATTCGATGTTCATACTTGCACGTGTGTCTTTGGATGCACCTCGTTACAATAGGGACTTTTAGATTCGCACGAAGACTATGGCCCGAATTCACAAAGGAGGTTTGTCGACAAACTTCCTTTTGTTTCGCCAAACCTCCTTTTGTTCTTTACAAACCAGGTTTGTAAAAAAGGCGTAGAAACGCGTCATATGACGTACAAAAACGAAGGTTTGTCGACAAACCTCCTCTGTGAATTCGGGCCAAAAGGTCTATGCTACGATCGACGTCCTTTTAATGCACTGCCTTGAATGGACGTCACACGTATCAGTCCATGCACATCTAAAAGTCCCTATTAACAGAAAATAGACGACGATAACCGAAATGACAATGAGGGTAAAAAGTTGTTTGAAAAAAAGGATAATTTATGTTTACACTAGGCCATACAAGATTTTTCTTCGGATGAGCTTCGTTACAATAACAGAACAATGTTAGAGATCCTTGATCTATTTGCTTTGAGGAAGTGCGGTCACATGGTATTGAAACTGACCTTCCTCCCAGCATGCATTTCTGGCACAATGATGTCAGATTGAGGGTTTCTTTTCTTCTTCACTTTCACTCGATGCCAGAAAATCATCCCACTCTTCGCGACCAAGGAATATTATTATTATTATTATTCATTTATTTGTATATTTATTTATTTATTTATGTATTTATGTTGTTGTTGTTGTGTTTTTTTTTTTTTTTTTTTTTTTTTTGGGGGGGGGGGGTTAATCCTGTATAAAATAGCAAATCTTCGAGCGCTTGTAGATTCTAAATTGATATGGCATTCACAACTAAGCATTCTAAAATATAATATATACTTTTCAACAATCAGATTATGGTCATCTTCCAAAATCATTTTGGATGTATGTGGCATGCGGATGAACGATCAATGTTATCTGAAAGATATTGAGTTATGGTTAAGGACTTCTTTTACACTTTGCATGCACCCGAAATAAGGGAAATAGATCCAGGGCCCACCACAGTGTTTTAGGGAATCACATTCTTTATTTACAGAATTGTTCATTAGAAAACCCCAATGTGATATTAGAGCTTATTTGCCAGGGTTATCCGATCAAATCAGTTACCTTTGGAGTGCCCTACCATAACTCTCTGGACCATTGCTTTTCATTTTAGACATGGATAATTTTTATAAATCTTCCTCTATTTTATCTTCCCTATTATTTTCCTGTTTATTCCATAATTGTCTCCAGCTTAGTCGAAGATTTATGAGAAATAAATTAATTTGCAATGTGATGAGAAGATAATGTATGATCAAGATCTCATATTTGTCAAGGTTTTTTAATATTTTTTTTACAGGTGTCTTACATTGTTTGGTAGTCTCATTTATCTCTTTAAGGATGACTTTTCTAATGAACGCCAAACCAAAGTGGGTCCGAGAATGTTTCTAATAATGAGGATGTTGGGACCTGGCTAAGTACCATATTGGAAGTTCCGCATTAAGATGTCATGTGTCTTTCCTTCTCTTGAAACAACCGCAGGTGGTTCTATTTAAAGAGATTCACATGAATTTACAAACATTGTTCAGACTGAAATAGAGCGGTACAATTCTAATAAAAACTGCGTAATTATTAATGCAACATTGGATCAATTTGTTGATCTATTTAAGACTTATCTTAAAACCGTTGATGGCGGGGTGGGACTGGGGCCATGATTCACACTTGTTTTCCCTTTGTGGTATAGGTCGTCAATCTTCCCTTGATTGAATCGCAATATATAATTACAGGTCGGCTGAAGTTCAGATGGAATAATTCGATTTGGTTTGTCATAATGGCCTCCCTTTGCCTCACATGCTGTGACCCGGCAAGCTACCTCCCCGTGCTGCAGGCCGAAGCGCAACCCTCAAATTCCCACAGACTTGCGTTACCTAGTAGCTACAGTAGGTCAAGACCATAATGAGTGACTCTTAAAAACAACTCATCGGTTTTATCCGCCTTTGTGGGATAAATATGCTTATTTTAGCAAGGCCCATTTCAGAAAAAGAAACCAATATTTTAGAAATCTGATCTACTTGGCCGGGTTAAGTGGTGGTCAAGAGTCCATTTGAAGCTATACAAGAAATGTCAACATGGCCAAGATGACGATAAAGTAAATGTGTTTTTAACACGATTGCAAAGACTTTCAAGAAATAAACTTAAGGACAAGACAATTCCATTGTCCTGCTATTATAAACCATATTTGGTTTATATGATATGTCATTGCAATGTTCGTACATTCCAACAGGTGATGCATGAGGATATTTTTGCGTTAGGTTGATTTTTCAAATTTAGACTTGGCAAGTTTAAATCGAACAGGGTTATGTTATTATATTGTATCTTGTATGTGTAATTATTTAATCACGGTAAACACTCACAATCAGTCAAAACTTACTGCCTTTCAGCGAGTCGTACATATTGTTTAAAAAAAAAGTAAATTTAGCACAGTAACATTGACAAACAAGTATAGAATAAATTCAAATATAAGTGTGTGATTTATAAAAAAAAGTCATTTGCTAAAAAAATATACATATACAAGAAATACACTAAACAAAATGCTACAACTCGTACAATTTCAATCTTTATTGTTTTGCTATTTAACAGTTGGGTAGATTTTGTGATTCCATTAAATACAATATTACTACAAAATTTCCGCCATTACCAGATAATATTATAATGCAGCTTAAATTGTTTCGTTCATTTTTTTTTTCTTGAATTTAACGAGAGTGTATGGGACGGTGACACCCGTGCCTAAAATGGCGGAAAATTTCATTTTAACCGGTTTAAAATGAAATTTTCCGCCATTTTAGGCACGGGTGTCACCGTCAACAAAGCTCGCCGATTTCAGGTAGAAAGTTTTAGTGTTATGAATATAATCACGCTGCTATTCAGAAGCATTTATCATCACTGACATGACTTGACCTGAAAGTGATCTAATTAATGATAATAATAATAATAATAATAATAATAGGCATTTCTATAGCGCCGTCTATCTAGAAATTCTATTCTGAGGCGCATTTATTATTACCCCGGCTTTAGCCTAGCTGCCATTACAGCGCTCTAGGATTTCATCCACGTTCCGTTATATTAACGAATTTGACAAAATTTTAACCCTAGTCCATATTGATTGATTGAGAAGTTGCAGTTGCAGTTACGGTGGTACAGTTTGAGGATTGTCCTCAAACTGTACCACCGTAAACTGAATTAATGACATATCTGACCCAATTTTCTCACAATTTTTCGCACACTTTCTCTCTTTTTTCCTCAGGTGACTGTGATCTTCGTGAACCAGCTTGTGGTAGGTATCAACCCTTTCTCGCCATGCAACACCTCAAGGGGTGGATGGGTTACGCTGGGGAGAGGAGGGGGGGGGGGGAGGGAAGGGATGAGGATTATTTTAATTTATTCTAAATTTCCGTTTTTTAATTTAGTATTTTATTAACCTTACCAGCGAATTGCACAACTTCGTCATTTCTTCTTTTTTTTGAGGGGGGAACTTCTGATTGCAAAGTTGAAATCCTGATGACCATTTGTTTTAAAACCTCTATAGTCTATAAAATGAAACTTCCTTTAGGTTTTGGGAAATTTTGTAGGCAAATTTTCGTCCGTGAAGACCTCAGTCGCTCTCTATAGATCTTCAACTGACCCAAGCAAGCAGATACTGCGTTAATGAACTGTGCCCAAATCTTAATTTCCTCTGGCCGCCATTCCCTATTCCCATAATGCTTGATCTATCCCAATCATGCCTATAGAAACGACAGTCTACTCCGCCCCTGCGAATACTAATTTCCATGATATTGATTTCTAAGCCCCAAAGCGATGGAGCAAAAAGAATTGTAGATAAAATTGCCGGAGTATTATGGAAGTAGGTCTATGCATATCGACCTGTTTTAGATTGAAAAATAGAGTAGAAAGAAGAAAATAATACGAATTATAATAATTCGTGTCACAAATATTTAATAATGATAGTTCAATGATAGCTCAAGAATTTATCATTTTTTTTTAAATATCGATGTAAGGAAACTGAATTGATATCGAGTATGGGATTTCATGAGCATTTATTATTACTACCATACTTTTGCTACAAAAATACTGTGTATGTAGGCCTATTATAAACCTCATTATTTTTAATTGTTATGAATAATATAAATATTTGTTTAAAGTAAATCAACAAAAAATGCTTTTGATGATTTACTTACTCTGTTCACATTGCTGTGTATTTCAAAAGTTGTATTGTAATTTGTAGGTTTATTTGCACTCTTTTGTTTTGTTTAATATGAAATTGTTATCAGTCTATTCGGTGGTAAGCGCTTTATAAGCAACGTTTTTATTATTATTATTATTAACGATTCAACCATCACAAGATCATTGTGAGTACTACCGAATATCACAAGATCAGAACCGTGCCATATCATATTCACTTAGATGAGTCTATGAACACGATAAAAGATGGCTCACGTAGTCTGGAGGGGTGTGTCTAAGGGATCTACCAGGGGTATAGCGGATTCCAATAGGGATATTGGACTGTCCCTCTTGATAAACAAACGCAATTCCTAGTATGATGAGTAAGACTTCTGAGCGGGAAATATATCTTGCACGTAGCTCCTTGTGTCACTTGACATTATACAAACTTGACCTTTCATGGTCGGAATAATATTGTTGGCCACTTATACATATATAGTAAAGTGGAAGTTCTTGAAGATTTGCAATGTTTGGTTTGTGGTTATAGCTGTGGATGATTAAGGGGGTGCAAGAACAGCTAGTGCCCCTGTCCAATCCCGATGTAGCATACTATACGAACAAAGACAAAAATGTGTTCTTGTGCCCGTTTCAAAAATTGTTGGCAAAAGGCAACTTATTTTCCTTGTCACATTTTTGGTCGGAATGGTATCTGATTTGATATACTCCCTCTTCAGTAACTTAGGGTTAACACGCATCACGTGAGATTGATTATAGAACTTCTGGAGAAAAAAAATCATCATACTGTACCAACAGAAGTAAAATATATTACAGCTTTCATTTGACTCTTAATCGGTCGCTGTAATTTTTTTCGGCGCGTTTCGCCGCACATAACAAGTTTGTATATTTTTGCACTAAAAATAGAGACGGAATTTGTGTATTCTTTATATTTTAGATTGTATGCTTGAATGTCAAAATGGTGGCATCCTTGATGAGCAGAACTGTGTATGTTCCTGCCCCACTGGTTGGATGGGATTGTCTTGCGAAAGTAAGTTTAAATGATTCTGATGTTACGTAATCCCTTAACAACCGTTGTAATGGAAATAGGAGCAGTATTTTTTCTGGTTAGTAGTAGTAGTAATTTGCAATAGTGTTGAAATAAGTGTATAAGCATATATATTATGATTTGCTTGCACTTAGAACCAAATAACTATCTTCAGAATTATATTCGTATATTAGTTTAAATTATCTTTGAATGAAACATTGTCATGATCGACGCACGCCTACAATTTTTGTTAAATTAAGAAAAGCTGTAAACTTTTATTATTATGATTATCTGAACATTCGAACTTGCCATAATTTTCAGAGGTTTGTAACAACACACATGCGTGGTGTGGTAACGGTTGGCCTAAAGAATGGTGTTTCAACAACAATGACGACAACCCTGTAGAAGAACTCTGCCCTGCTATGTGCGGTTTATGCGGTAAGGCGGCACATCTTAACTATCATTTCTATAAAATCATTACAAATTCTGTAATTATTACAAAATGGAGAAGCAAAATATCAAGTAAATTAAGTAGAATATAACCATTCTTAAAGATATGTAATGATATGTAATGATCGCAAAATGAGGTTGAAACTGTTTAGTGAAATAACTAGCAAAATAAAGCATCCTTATAATTGTAATTATTGCAAAGTGAAATAACAAAGGATCAAGTGTTTAAAAGTATCATAACTTTAAAGTTAAGTTTGTACCTAATGGAAATGAAGATGAGGTAGCAAAGTTTCAAGTCAAATACAGTTGAAAAAAGGTTCGGAATTAAGTATATTATTGAGGTGCAACAATATAAAGTAGTCCCAATTAGTTGAAAGATTCAATCATTTCGATATACAAAAATGTTTAAGAGCAAAATGTGAACACACCTTCGATTGTTAATCTCTCTTTGTTATAATCTGCGTCTATGTTCATTACCTATCTCTGCCTAATATCTCGTCTGAACATTTGTCTGCTATCTCTTCATGTTATGTGTCTCCTCATTTCTGTTTCTGTATCCGTCCTTGTAACTCTATCTATTTCTATTTACCCCTACTTCCTATGCTCTCATAGTCTCTAAACAAATCCTGCATCTTATTCCTGCTTTCCTGATAGATTGTGGAGGGCCAATGTGTGTGAACGGGGGTCGAAAGAGCGGTTTCACATGTGAATGTGACTGTCCTACTCCATGGGGTGGAGAAGATTGCTCAGGTTAGTTTCATAATCCTGTTCTCATTTCTGTTCAACAAATATTACTTCTTAAAGTTTGAATTTTCAAAATATCAATATGCTGTGGACATAGACATTGGATTTATTGGTCATGGTTAACTTTCATACTCTTTTAGTATACAAACTTGTAAAATCGACATCGATGCGCGTCCATGACCCAATAGTGTTATTGCCCTTGTCATAATGTCATCATAAGTCCTATTATATCCTGCATCAAAAATTTGTTGGATTTTGATTGGTTTGAGAGCTCGTCACATGACAAGAAATATTTGAACTATTTTTAGAAAGTACTATATGAGAGTACTATTTTGGTTTACTATTTGGGAGTTGAAAAAAAATGTGATTTAAAAAAAAAAAATCTTAATTTAATGAAAAAAAAATATTTTAAATATTTTTAGTTAAAAATTGACATTTTTTTGTTCTTAATTTTTTTTATTTTTAAAAATAAAATACATTTTTGATGCAGGATATAAAACAAATATACCATGCCTCTATTCGAGGTACTGGTTAAAACTATAGGCCTCGGTGACTCCAAAAGTACCATTTGCTTCGGGGCTTTGCCCCTCAGCAAATAGTACTATTGAAGTCACGTCTTGCGCATAGTTTTAACCAGAACCTCTCAAGACAGTGTATATTTGTATAATATAATTTTTCATATTTATTTTAATTTGTGTGTTGAATAATATAATTTGAACTCAGTGCATAAGCGCACAAGCACAATATGGCTGCCGCACAGGCGCGTACGCAGGAAGGGGGGGGGGGTGTTTTGGGGGTTTACCCCCCCCCCCCCTCAATTTTTTTCAAATTGTGCTAAAGGGTGACAAAAAAGTGACCTTACCCCTCCCCCACCCCCGCTTATTCACCGGCTGGCTGAGTCGTTGCGAAATTTTCGGCTCGATTTTCAAATGTTAACCCCCCCCCCCCCTCGAAAAAAATCCTGCATACGCAGTAGCTGGCGCATCATTGTATCATTCCAAAAACTGTTCCTTTTGTATAATGACAAAACAAAAGTATTTCAGGTAAGTTTGTAATTACTGTTTAGTTCTAGTTAAGAAAGTCTGATCGCAAAGGCGGCCAAATGTTGACCTAAATGTAGATTATCCCATGTGATATTGATACTTCCCTGTCTATTGTGATAATTCATTCACTACTCGCTTTGCAAGAATACCTGGGACAGAAATGCTTGCATATCCAAGTGAGAGCGCGCGTAAACCGTTTTGGGTGCTAATTGAGCGTCTGGATTCCTCCATGTAGGTCCGTGACCGTATCATCTTATCGTGTCTTCAATAAACACCACAACTCTCATTTGCACCTTGATATCCTTTTCGTTCTATGCTTATTTCTCAGCCCCAATACATTTTTTCCCAAAGTCGTTTGGCACATGTAATTTATTTGTAATCTTGAACATTCAGTGTAAGTTATGTTGGATTCTGTGCGAATTTATTTTCTATAGATACCAGAGCTCAAGCTGATCTTTAAAGACAAATTTTAGTTCTGGTCATGCGATTGCATTTTGAAAGAAAAGGTGTGGCATGGATCAGAAAAAGTTGATCATGGATCATGCAAGTATTGGTGTGTACTGCAAGGTTCTGGAGTCATCAAAATCATAATAAATTTGGCCCAGTCTGTACACAGAAAGATGTATATCGGACTACACAAATGGTGTCGGGCCTACTTACCTTGATTTCCTTATCTTTTTATGCTCATTTCTCAGCTAGTATACATTTTCTACCAAAATTGATTGGCAAATTACATTTATTTTTAATCTTGAACATTCAGTGTAAGTTTCTTTTTTTTTTTTTTTTACCAGAACTCAAGTTTATCTTTAACTTCAAATAGAGTAGGCCTACATGGGATAGGATTATCTCCGAATGGCACTGAAATCGTTAACGAATGAATACAAGGAATATACAAATATCTATGAAATTAAAAATAGAGGTGAAAGTAAGATTGAGAGAGAGAGAGAGAGAGTGGTCATAACATTAGAAGTCGTCGTAGTTGTATTTTAGTATAAGAAGAAGAAGAAGTAGTAGTAGTAGTAGTAGTAGTAGTAGTAGTGGTGGTGGTAGTTGAAACAGTAGTACATGTAGTAGGGTAGTAGTAGTAGGGGTAGTAGTAGTAGTAGTAGTAGTAGTAGTAGTAGTAGTAGTAGTAGTAGTAGTAGTAGTAGTGGTGGTGGTGGTGGTGGTGGTAGCGGTGGTGGTGGAAGTAGTAGTGTTGGTGGTGGTGGTGGTGGTGGTGGTGGTGAAAGAGGTAGTAGTAGTAGTAGTAGTAGCAGCAGCAGTAATAGTAGTAGTAGTAGTAGCAGTAAAGTAATAGTAGTGGTTTTAAAATTAATAGTAGTGACGTCTGTGGTAATAATAATAATAATAGTAGCAGTAGAAGCGGTGTTGGTGGTGGTAATCGCCGAGGCGGACGAGAAGGAAGTGGAGAATGGGAGGAGAGTAGAAGAAATAAAAGTAGCTGCTAATGGAGTTCAGTCAATAGTGGAAGAAATAGAAAGCATTGGAATAGTAATATAATTATGTAGTTATAACTTTAGCTCTGTACTCAAATCAAATTTAGTTGAAATGATGACAAAATAAGAGCCTTTAACCTCTAAGTTCAGAAGCCCTACTGCCTGAAGGTATATGCTGTAACATTTCACTCAAGTACAATGTATACTAATAATCTTAAATACCAGAATAACTAACTAGGAATGATTAATGAAAACTCATGGTTATTCTGATTCATCATTGTTTAAAATATCTCATGTAATTTTTTTAGGGAAACGGAGCGATCTTATTACGAACATTAATTTAAAATGCACATAACGTTACTAATATCAAATATGTTGTATCTCGTCACTCTCAAGGGCGGAACATACCCTTTGATGGTTTAGGTTTGTACATAACGACTGATTAGACAGATGAACGTTAATACATGTTACATTACCAAAGAATTAAATTAGCTGACTGAAACTCTGATGACGTTGACGTGTGTAAGGGGAAAGCTGCCGTCAGATTAAATATACAATTTTCAACTCATTATCATATGTGATACATAAAGAAAAATGCGTTTGCTCATGGCAACGTCATTATGAATGAAAATAAATCACTTGTCTACTAAAAACACAATGTAATCTAGAATGTAAGCAAGTCGTCCTATATGTTTTCCATTGGCATTAGTAGTCTGTTCAATGTGAAAGAGTAATTAATTTTTATGAAATAATATAAGTATTAACATCATGTGGCAAATCCTTATTCAACATTTGTCACTGCCCATCTAGGTGAAATTAAATGGGAACGTGATAATAAGAAATTTTCTGAATGCTTGCATGAGCGCAAATAAGTGAGAAGAATGGGGTGTCGATCAGATTCTATGCTTTCTAAATCCACTTTATGTCAATTATTTATTATTGTTATTACTTATCGTGATCATCACCATTGCTCTTGATCTATTCCGTCTCCATCTTTTCAAGATTTATACTTCTGTTTTTATCAATATCTGAGTTTACCTAATTTCTCTCTTCTATTATCGTGAACTTCCCTTAAATTCTTCTTCTTTAAGTGCCGTCTCCTGAGACGTTCGCGACCATGTAATGCCACAACTCTCTGTCCCATATTCTATGAAGTAATTCATTATCCCCGAGATCAATTCCACTATCAGAAATCACACTCTTTAAGCTACTCATCCACATAATCCTCCTTTTACCCCTACTCCTCCTCCCCTCGATTCTTCCAGTCAGTGCAAAAATTTTCCAAACCATTCTTCCGAATAACATGACCCAAGAAACTCAGCTGGTGACCTCTTATATTATTCAGAAGCTTTCGTCTTGTTCCTGCCATGGCAAATACCTCATCATTAGAAACTCTTTCTGTCCATGAAATTCTTAGCATCCTTCTCACGAACCAAACGTCACAACTTTCCAGTCGCTTTCTTAGGTCTGATGTCAGGGTCCAAGCTTCACATCCATACATCAGAACTGGATACACATACAGTCTCGTCGTCATCTTCAGCTTCTTGTTCTTTAAGATCGTTCTCTTTATTTCCTGCTTGCATCGTCGGTTATTTTAGTACCGAGGTAATTAACAGAGGTGGCTTGTTTTATTTGATTGTTGTTGTTGATCTTAAGAGAGCATGGTATTCATCCCTTCTTTGAAATTACCATGCATTCCGTTTTCTTGTAATTTAGTGATAATCCTCTCTAGTCACTTTCTCTGACGACAACATCCGAAAGTTGCTGCAGGTCCTTCTCTGATTCTGCGATTAATATAGTATCATATACATACCGTATGTTTGTGATATTTTGTCCTCCACCTTCAATCCTCTTTCCTGTTCTAGGTTTGTAAGTATCAACTCACTGTAACAATCGAAAAGATCTGGAGACATGACACATCCTTGCCGAACCCTCCTCTTAATGTTGATGTAGTCACTTAATTCTGTTTCCACTCTAATGCCTAATGCCTGGATTACATTTGGCCTGCGATTAGTCTAAGGAGCCCGTAACCTGCCCGTATCTCCTTTTTCGTGCGGCCTCCGTGCGGAGGCAGGGGGCGGCGGTGAGATTTCCGTACGGATTCACGGGTTCCGCAACCTCTACGATTTTGTTTCGCGAGAAGTTTCGCACGTGCATCGCGCGAAGGCCTCGCGCTGATCGTGCATATATACTGGGGACTCGGACGCTCAAAAATGGCAAGGCGGCTGCACGATCACCGTACGTTCTCCGCGCAACCTCTGCACGGAAGCTGTACGGGCTCCGTACGATTTCCGTTCGGAAGCTGCGATGACTGCCTGGCTACTGCACTGAAATCGCACGAGTGCTGAGCAGACTCTGTACGGATTCGCCCCGGCCTGCCCCCGAGGGGCCAATACAAGAAATGGCACGATGCTCGTAGATAATGTAAACAAAAACATCGTGGCCCGTAGCCTCCTACGATGCCCCCCAAATCGCACGAAAAATCAAAGACCAATTTATCGTAAGGCGCCCGGGGCAAACGTAATCCAGGCATTAAGTCACATTTGCCGCGGCGGCCGTGCGGTCTAAAATATCTACGGCCAATAGCAATTACAGGACCGCCGCAGCATTCCCTCGGATATATACGGTAGCGGTCACATATGTTATGCCTGGATTACATTTGGCCTGTGATTAGTCTACGCGGAGCCCGTATCCTGCCCGTAACCCCTTTCCCACCCGGCCTCTGTGCGGAGGAAGGAGGCGGCCGTGAGCTATTCGTACGGATTCAAGGGCTCCGCGCCTCAACGATTTTGTTTCGCGATAATGCCTGGATTACATTTGGCCTGCGATTAGTCTACGCGGAGCCCGTATCCTGCCTGTATCCCCTTTCCATGCGGCCTCCGTACGGAAGCAGGAGGCGGCCGTGAGATTTTCGCACGAATTCACGGGCTCCGCTCCTCTACGATTTTGTTTCACAGATGTAATCCAGGCATTAGGGTAGCCGCAAGGCTTTTTTTTAATTTGTGGAGAAAGAAAATATGCGACTGCCATACGGCCTTTGAAGTGATGACGCACGGTCGCATTAGGGCGTCCCTGCGGCGGCCGTAGCTTTTTTGCTAAATACTAAGGCAGACGCAAGGTAGCCGCAAGTTGCCCGCATGAGGGACCACACGGCGACCGTGCGGCTAGACTGATGCTCCCGCTTCACCCTTCGGGGGCGTACGGCCGCCGTATCCTAGCCGTAGAGCAAATGTGACCTAGGCATAAGTCTTCAAACTTTACTTTATCGAAGGCTTTCGTGTAATCGATGAAACACAGGAAGACGTCTTTTTGCATTTCTCCAGCTCTGTCCGCTATAGACCGCAAAACAAAAACAGCATTTCCAGTTCCAGCTTCCTTGACAAAACCAAACTGCACATTACTGATTTCTGGAGTTGATTCCTTGCTCTTTGAAGTACATGTAGAACTCGCAAGATTATCTTTGGGATATGGCTCTTGAGGCTGATTATTCAATGTTGCCCGCATTCCACTGCTCCAGGTGTAATAAATATTGATTTGCACAGGTCGTCTGGAAACTTTCCATCTTCTTCTTCTTCTTATCGAGTCACTACACAAGTCCCGTCCAGTGGTAGTTACTAAAAGAAACTTGAGAAGTGTGGTTGAAGGATTCGCAGATTTTCATCTGACGGACCGCGACGTGAACGCTCCTTCAATGGCCCCACTGTTTTTACTGTTCTCCTACACTTAACTATAGTCTAGATACAGTACAGGTGATTGATCTGCAGTAACCTCTAAATAAGCTATATGGTAATGCAGCAGAATTAATGATAGTCTATCGTATATATTTTGAGGAGGTATCAGCAAGGTAGACTAAACTATAAAAAAATATTTTAAAAAAAGAAGATAAAGACGTATGACATAAAAAGAATATAATCGAAATGTCCGACTAGGTTCCGTGGCACAAACTCGGCATTATTGGACAAACCTACCATTGGAGAAACCTAACAATTACAGAGCTTGGTCTTGTTGCTCTGTTCGCCAGCAGTTTAAGGATATGAAACCCCGCGGCACACTACTCACAAGAGCTCTAACAAGCCAAGCTTATACAGAGCCTAAAAGTAAAATAAAATAATACCGCGTATGTACCACTCACCCAATCGATTCAAGAACAAATTATGATTAAGTTAATCACGTAAAACAGGAAAATATAAAAACAATAATTGAATAAATACCAAATTGTGAACTATAATAATATTATCAGCACTCAAACACACCCAGCGCACATATCAGTACAAAGCGTAATATATATATCTTTACAACTTTCCATCATCATAGATCTTATTGATGACTTCAGTTAGTTTCAACATAGTTTTCCAATGCCTCGACCATCTTCACGTGAAGGATCAACTAAGCAGACACAAAATCCTCATCACCACTTTTAAATATGCAGTCCCCGCTGAACGTTCTTCAAAGTGGGTTGGGGGAGGCTAAAGTATTTACGATCAGCTAGAGACTAGAGCGTAGTGTGTGCATTGGCGTTGGGTCTAGGGGCGGAGTCCCCGGAGGCTCAGGAGGTAAGGGCATTTAATTACGGTCAGATGAGCATATTTTGATTCCTTATTCACGACCGTGGCATCTCACTAATTGGCGTGGGGTCCAGGTGGCTGAGCCCCATGAAATTCAGGGATTTGAGGCATTTTTAACGGTCAGATAATCATTCAGGGGCTTGCCTAAGGGCCCCTTAGTGGGGTCTAGGGGCTGAGTCCCCGGAAGCTCAGGGGTAAGGGCATTTAATTACGGTCATATGAGCATATTTTGATACCTTATTCACGATGCTGCTCAGGACACTAATTGGTGTGGGGACCAGGGGCTGAGCACCTAGAAGCTCAGGGGTTTTAGGCATTAAATTACCGTCAGGTGAGCATTGAGGTGCCCGCCTTATAGGGCCCTAGACGGGGTCCAGGGGGCAGAAAAAATTTAAGAATAAACCACCTTTGAAATTTATTTTTTGGGGAAGCAACTGCCCTCCACCCCCCCCCCCCCTTCAGTACGCTAGTGCTTGTGGGTGCGCGCATGCATTACATACTCCGGCCTGGTAAATTGATCTGAAGGTGTGTAGGAGTCCGGGGGGGGGGGTGGGTGTATACAATTCCTACATGAAGCATGAGGTAAAGCATGTTTTTTAAGTGACTGAATAGGGGGGCATGGCCCCCTTGTGCCACCCCATGTGTACGCTCATGGCGTTAGGTGTGATTGACTTGAATGAGAGTCTTTTTAGAGCGTGGGGGGGGGGGTGAAGCAATAGGGATAGTGGCATCACATAACACACCCCCCCTCCCTAAGCGCCATTAGTCAGTTCCGATAATGCTATAGCGGGAATGGATAGTTTTGATACAGTCAGTGTCCCTCGTAGTGGTATCGAAGATATATATTGTTATAACACGGAGGGTGATCATTCAAAGCTAATAGCTGGCCCCTTTTGAAGTATGTTGAACATAATTATCAAAATCATAACCAATACCAAATGATGATCGCTTTATAACTTTCAAGCACTCTACTCCAAAAGAGTTAAACACATAATCCCATCACAGCTCCAATAAAAACAAACCCCTGTCGCCCCATCCCTTCGCGGTGCAGGACCTGTTATTGCCCCCTATCATTACTCGCGGTCCCAGCATTCCGACGGGGTCTATGGTGTCGGGATGTGATGTTTTAATGCGAATAACTAACGTTCCTTCACGAGGCTACCCGTAGCCTTCCACGGTCTCGAGCTCAGTTCTCATTAACATTGTTAATTCCCACTCTAGGTATACATTTAAAAGATGTAGGGGTCCACTTTTCCCGTCAAAAATGACTAAAAATGTAAATAACGTTGGGCTATGACCTTGTTGGATATTTCTAACCAGCGTTAAAGTTGATTTATACATCAAAGTTTTTCTTTTCATACCATTTCAAATCTTTTAACGGACTTTTTACAGTCGTAAATTAAAAGTATTTGAATGACGGCTAAATAAACGTTTATATGGTCATTGCCACTACCAACACGTTATTTTCTTTGATTAAATTCAAAATGGTTTTGTTCTCGTTTGCAGAATGTACCATCAAGTGTATGCATGGAACCTTAGACGAATCAACATGTCAATGTACATGTGATGATGGATGGATGGGCTTATCATGTTCTGGTAAGTTTCTTAAAACTTTTAACCCTCTAAATGTACCTTTAGTAGACATAGTATTGGGGAATAATAATATACATTTTTAAAATAATTTCTTTAGATAATATGCTATTTGCTATTGATACATGTTTGCTTTGATACATTACACAATACCACAGACTGCCATCCGTCAGAAATTCTTCTCGACTTGGTATTTGAACATTACTTTGAACATTATGTTGTCAATTGATGCTCTCTACCACGTCATCTCTATACCAGAATTAAAAGGGCCATCAAGAACAACGTAATTTAAAGGTTATCAATGTACTATTTTATATGCATTGTTAAGATTATTTATTTTGCCTGGATAAAGCAAAGAGATTCAGTTTACCATGCATTCTTTCTGCAGCTAAAGTAAAAAGTTAATCAAGGGTAATCGGCCGGTAAGATTGATGAAGTCGACCTTTAAAGTTAATACATGTTTCCCTCTAATACTCAGCTTATCATTGACCCTTCGTAGCTTCCTAAAATAAAACGATTATTTATGTTACTTGTAAGTGTGCTTGAATTAATGGATGAGTGATGAGACAATTTATGATTAAGTAGCAAGTTATGATACTAGACGACCCGACGAAATTGATTTACCGTCACTATAAATGGTAAGAATTTTAAGGGGAAACATTCGACGTTTATTTGTTTCCTCTTATCCTCAAGCGAGGTTTTTACTTCCATAATAGCAATAGATATTTACTTTAATAAATCAATGACTGAGTGAAACATAACATAGGCTAAAAATTAAAGTATATTCAACAATTCTTCCAGCTAAGTATTATTTTCTTTGCTAACACATTCATAACTTAAAAATAATCTTAGCAACGACTTGAATTAAAAAAAAATTATGTGGGTAGTAAACAGAACCATTAACAATCTTCTTAACGTAACATTTATAAATTGCGTATTGCGCATAATTTAAAATAATATTCAGAAGTGAATATTTCTTGTTTCCAATATTCTTACCTACAACTATTATCTTTTGGTCTATTTGTATTTCTTTTTGGAATAGATTAAATATCAAATTACATATTATTTTCCAAAACAAAGTCACATCCTTGCAATATAACATAAAATGAAAAGTTGAGTCAACATGTCCACAAGAGTTGCATTATTTATTATTAACAATTTGCCATTTATATAAGTTTTCTTTTGAGGCAATAAACTTCTGAATCATTTTGAAATTAAATTGTTGTACTTTATTATTACGAATTTGCTTTAATCTAAATAAAAATACATCCTTCCAAACAAAGTCATTATCCAAATCTAAAAAGGAATTCCAAACGTAAATGATATTTGGTTCTCTTGACTTATTATGTATTAACAAACGATAATAATCTTTCACTTTCATAACAAAAACATTCACTTTATCCCCTGTTTCTATTTCTATAATATTTGAAATATCACATTCTTGTTCAAAATCATAGCTTAATCTATCCAACCAACACTGCGGAAATGCTTTCTTTAATTTTGTATATTTAAAATCGAATAAGAGCTGTTGTGCTTTCACTTTTGTATTTGATAATGTAGAGTCATTCCAAATACCATTTGTAATCAAATTATGAATTTTCAATAAACCGGCATCTTGCCATTCTAGATAAAACAATATTTTTTCTTAAAGGTAATGTTACTATTTTTCCAAATAATTTCATTTGGAATATTTCTTACTTTAAACATATCAGTGAATTTTAGTTCTGACCAAGTAAAAAAAAGATCTACATAGAATTCTGGCAAATTATGTTTAGAGCATAATAAATTCATATCTTTTATGTTACAATTGAAATGTAAACAAAGTGGCAAACCCCCTATTTTATCGGACCAGTATCTTAACATATTTTTCCAATAAGAGCCATTATCATTTTAAAAAAACAACGAGATATTCATGCCAAACGAAGTGAAGATATTTTACTAGCAATATCAATCATATTCACAGTTCTATGTTTATAAGTTTGATGCGCCCAATAGAGGTTTTCGATCATTCTCCTCGACTTCATCAATATGACTAGTTGTAAGTGCATAAATAGAGCAAAATAACAGGGACCTCATAGGTTTGAATTTAGATGGAAAAGGGGTGTACATTAAGGTGCATATAGGCAGAGAAGCATGAATTAGATTATATTTTAACAATGAAATCACAAGAAATGTTGAATTAATTAAGGAAGCATACTGTGATCAATTCTTCTGACTTTGTTTAAATGACATCTTTATGTATTTATTATCCATAAGGAGAGAAATATTTCTGTTTTCAAAGTTCTAAAAACAAACGACTTTGATCTCAGAAATATATGTACCATAAGACACAACGCATAATTATACTGAAATTAGATACAGACATAAAGCATGTTGAAATGCATGTCACGCTACATATTTCAGAAAATTGTAGAATACTGAATTCAAACCATGTGCACGTCAATAACTTTCTCTTCTTCGGACGGACCCTGTTTCCTCTAAAAAAAAATCATCCCCTCATGTGACTCGAGATTGAATTTGTCGTGTATTAATTCGATGTTTGGTCCCTTCTGTCATTCTCTTAATTACCCCCATCGTCAGCAGGAGGTAGCCTAAGTGGTCTAACTTGGAAAATATTTGCTATCCCAATTATTGCGATTATTCCAATTAAGGACCCCTCACGTTCGCTTCAAAAAACGTATGCTAAGCATGCACGGTTAAAGGTATACATGTATATTATGCAGTCACTAATTTCACTTTAATCATGTTAATTGAGTAGAAATTACAAATAATCAATTTACTTACACGAGGATTTTTTAAACGGGAGCTTCTTTTGTTGAAACACGAGTAGGCTGAAACAATTATAGTAACAATTAAAAATAAATAGGAGCACGTGTTATTGTCGTTATTTTGGGGGCCGCCAAGATGTAAAATCAATCAAAAGTGTGATGGGAAAGCAGGATGGTAAAGAACAACTAAGTGAGACGTACATCCCTTAAAGAGTGAAACTGGTTAAAATAAATAGGTGGGTATCTTACCCGACTATTAAGTGATAATCGTTTTAAATCAGACTTTTCGAATAAGGTTTGCAAGCATTGCGTTTAAAATTTGTGTGTGCTTTTTGAATGTTTTAAAAGGCACCTTTTATAATTTTACTGTCAAATTAATTACGACCAAACAACTGGATAATTGAAGTTGCTAAAAGGTACCCTCATTCTTTCAGCCCTTCAATTTCCCTCAAATGCTCACTAAAGAAGTATTTTCCGGAACCTTCAATGACACTTGCAGATTTAGGGACCCCTCCTACACCCCTCCCCCACCTTTGAAACGCAAATTGCATTCCTTAAGTTCACAATACATGTACAGTGTTTGCTCCCTTCGCTTATTTAATTTATAAAAATTGCGCCTCCTCTTTGCAAAATCCTGTATCCGCCCCTGTTTAATGATGTCAGGTTCAATAGAGATACAAACCCCCTAATAGGTTAAGAACGCAAGGTCTACATTAGGTCCAAGTATGGGGTGATGTTCTTAAGAACAGTCCGGGATATCAACGCCTGTTATACAACAAGAAACACATGAAGACGAACATCTCAAAGGACAAGTCCACTCCAAAAATAACTTATTTTCAATAGAAGCAGAAAAATCAGACAAACCAATCAAAACAAGTTTGAGCAAAATCGGATAACTAATAAAAAAATTATGAATTTTTAATGACATGAAATACTTTGAAAATCACAAGACAAATTGGCAACTCACTCATGAGTCTGTGACGTCATGTCCTCACTATCCACTAATTATTTTCTTTATATTGATAATATAAATTTTCTATCCCCCCCCCCCTCCTACGTATCTTATTTCTTCACACCAGCAACCAAGTTAGATTGATATGTTTTTGTGTGGATGCACTAATATAAAGTATTTTTTTCCAATTAAATCATGAGAAATGTGAATTTTGATAAACTATTTATATACAAAAAAATATTCTGTGAAATGTCATGGACGCAATATGATACGAATCATATAACCTGGGCAAAGGCATGGGGAAATCAAGTTTTGGTGGATAAAAAGGGAAATTAATGGGATTAAACTATATAAAGCAATTGATAAATACAGTCAAACCTGTCTATAGCGACCGCTAAAGGGAAACACAAAAAGTGGCCTTTGAAGACAGGTGGTCTTTGTAGACAGGTTCCTTTAGTGCATGATTCAATAAGAAACCATTTTCAAGGGAAGCAACAAATGTGGCCTTTGTAGACAGGTGGTCTCTAAAGCAGGTTTGACTGTAATTAAGACATGACGTCACAAACTGAAAACCAAATTGGCAGTTTGTGTAGTGATTTCCATTGTTCCATAGTTTCACATACTTTTTCAAAAAATCATAACTTTCTATTAGTTATCCGAATTTGCTATAACTTTTTTTGATGAGTTTGTCTGATTTTTCTGCTTCTATTGAAAGTAAATTATTTATGGAGTGGACTTGCACTTTAAAAGGGAAACGCGGTCATGTGAATATGTTCTATATTGCTGAGAGAAAGGTAGAAATGCACGGGCATTGACTATTGCAATACATCAATACCGTCGTTAGCACTTGCAGATTGTCTATATATTTTAAGATTGTTTAATTATAGATAAACAATGTAATGAAAGAAAAGATATTTTATGCTGCCTTCATTTAGAACAGATGTTTTCAAGGAAATCAATAATACTGTATATGGACTGACAGATATTTCCACTCCCTTTTTATTAATTTATTATTAATTTGTTTTCCATCTTTTGTAATTGGTATATATTTTATTGTCATAAGTCTATTATGTAAATTTCCAGAGATGAATTATGTTATTTCCCCTTTTCCATGATAGATATAATCAAACTTTAGTTATTATATTCTTTGTTCTTTCTCAGAACCATGTGAGAATAAGCATCAGCTATGCTACCATGGTTGGTATCCGAACTGGTGTGACGAAGAGCACCCGTATGTATTGGACAACTGCCCTGCTATGTGTGAGCTATGCAGTAAGTATTCAATCATAATTTTTCAAAATTAAAGACGGGGGTATCGTGGATAACAGCGTTTTTTTTTCAACCTTGGTTTTATAGTCACGACTCCTTTTTAAAAGTAAATCGTTCCGCGTCACCAAAATCCTAAATTCATCACAGAAGATCGGTCTTGCTTTACTGTTGCACTCGTCAAGTGCCCTGCACACAATGTATGAGATCATTTTGTTTCTGTCTATTGAATGAGTCGGGTGGATGAGTGTGTAAAGCCCCTTTCACACCGGATCTGCGTAGAGTTGCGTAGTGCTGCGTACCGACTACGCCGAAGTTAAGCTGCGTACTCATGAATAAATTGATGCTTCGGCGTAGTCCCTGCGTAGGCTTGCGTACGATCGGCGTATAGTTACGTACCCTGTGCGTAGGCACCGCGTACCTACGGCGTAGGCAATTGGCGTAGGGTTACGTACGATCGCGTAGACCTGGCGTAGGGTTACGTACGCTTGCGTAGGCCTGGCGTAGGGTTGCTTACGGTTGCGTACGGTTGCTTACTGTGTGCGAAAATGCCATGTAAAAATGCAATAGACGCTTTGTAGGAGCCGCGAGTATAGCCATTGGCGCTTTATGAACATATATCATAAAAAATATGTTAAAAAGACAGTTCAATTTATTGTATAAATGAACTGTGCAGTGTACAAAGAATTGTACATGTTATTACATGTGAACATAACTTGATCTTAGTATAATAATAACATTCTGACAAACGGTGACATCCAAGGGGCAGTGGGTCTCTTTTGCATGCGTGAAATAGGGCTGAAACGCCAATTTAAGTAAAATAGTGAGTGAAGAAAATAACATTTATAAACCTGCCATAAGTGTTAATAGTAAAAAGTGGCATTTGGTACACGTTTTTGACCGTTAAATTTTCAGTTTTTTTTAGTAGGCATTAGCAACTGCTGAGGTTATTTTGAAGTAATGTTAATTTGTTCAAGATTTTATTTTCCAAAAAATGCAGACATTTTTGTGGATGTACTACATTATTGTACTATGTATCATTCCAAAGGTTAATAAATGAAGTTCATGTATTACCCTTTTGAATGATACATAGTACAATAATGTAGTACATCAACAAAGTTCAACTTTCTTTTGATGAACATTGCAAGGTCACGTGATGTGATTTGATACCTCAAAACGCCAACAAAAGAGAGCGCTTATTTTGATTTGTGAATAAATGTGGACAGAAGTCTGATATTTGTTGACCATATCCCTTTTCACTCATTTGTAAAATATCATTCCATAACAGTTTCCTGAAAGTTTGAAGACGATATCTGTTGTCCTTGGTCCGTAGCGTATTTGTGTGTGACAATGTAATGATATAAATGTTAGTCATTTATTAGATTTAAAGAAATACTTCTGACATACACACTCACTCAGTCTCACTAACAGAGTGAGACAAAATCATTTCTTTGCTCATTTCAATTAAACAAAATTATATTACAAACATACAAACAGGACCACAAACGTACACACAAGCAAACAAACCGACACAAATACATACAGATTTCCACAAAACATAATAACATTTCGCATGAGGCATCAGTTTATGAATATTATCTCTGTTTATTATATCAACAGCCTGAGATGTCAATTATCACAAATTGAATAAACCATAACAAAACAAAACATGTCAGTCTGAAATACCTTGTAGTAGTACAAACAGAATTACAAGCAAGAATGATCAATGATCAAAACCTGCCAAGTTTACATCCAGGTATATACCAAAAAATATCTATACGTTTTTAATGCTTCGTCGGACTGGCGTAGGGTAGCGTATTGTTGCGTAGGCTTGGCGTACATTTGCGTAGGCTTGGCGTACAGTTGCGTAGGCTTGGCGTACAGTTGCGTAGTAAAGTCTACGCCGAAGGTACGCGAAAAAAATTAAACATGTTTAATTTTTTGCGTTCATCTCGCGTACCCATTCGCGTCCCTCCGCGTACAGTTGTGTAGGGTTGCGTACGATCGGCGTAGGGTTGCGTACGATCGGCGTAGTCGCTACGCAACTCTACGCAACTCTACGCAACTCTACGCAAGGCCCGGTGTGAAAGCCCCTTAAGGATGATTGTGCAGGTGAAGGTTGTAGCATGGACCTATTACGGATGGACATTCATCGTTTTCTTAACGAATTCATTGTGATTGTGATTGTGATTGTCTCCGTCAATGTCGTCTCAATAACAAAAATAGAGTTCACTTCTCCTGTTCTTTATTCGTCTTTTTTATGTGGATTGCAACTACTTAAATATCACCTTGTATATATTTTGTATTCCGTCAAGAAGAAATATTTTGATTCTCAATGTATGTGTCCCTGTCCTCTGCTCAGAATATATTATTGTTATAGTGATGGATTTAAGTTACATACCCCTTTCTTGTAATTTTCTTTCCTTAAACGTGAAAGAAATTAGGGAAAAGAACCATTATCTCAGATATTTACTTAGTGCAATGATAGAGATGCAGATATTGTGTTGTTTAAAGAAACATACAGTACTCTTAATATAGAAGATACATGGAAATTAATGTGGGATAGAAGTTGTTATTTTAGTCATAGTACTTCACACAATAAAGGTGTTCTTGTATTGTTAAATTCACGTTTAGATTTGAAGGTTCTGATATAGATCATAATGGGAGATACATTATGATGACAGTTTTTTTTTTTACAAGACTTAGACATTTTAGTAAGAAGAAAGAGGAGAGATTATGAATTAGATTACTATGGGACAAGATTAAAACTACATTTATTACTTTTCATTTATTACTTAAGACAATTAATAGATATTTGAAGACAAAGGAATAGTATGAGAAGACCATTTATCTATAGGTTATTGTCTCCATTTATGCAAAGTCGCCTTGATTATTGGAACTGTCCAGTTTATTTCCAAGAAAATATTGTGGAATAAGATTTACTGCTCTCCATAGCACCAGATCATTCTGGAATTTATTTGCGTATTTGTAACATGGTCAATCAGGAGCAATCTTATCAGAAGTTTAATAATATTATATACAATGATGTAACTTCTATTAAAATTATTATATACAGCATTGATACATGGTAAAACATATATACCTTCTACGTCTAATAGACTTTGACTGGAGAAGAAATTAACGAGGTATTTCTGAGATTAAGGAGATCTACTTCGGATAACGGACTAGGAGAATTTTAGCATAAAATGTTGAATGGTGAATTATTGTCTACACTAAAAAAAGAATCACGCATGTTTGGCTTGGTAAAGGATGGTCTGTGCTTATTTTGACAAAATGTTTATGCATGTGGAACATTTAGCAATTGTAAAAATCTTGTGGAAATGTTTTAAGTTGCTAATACCATAGGCATTAGAATAACCAGAAAGGAATGGAACAATTGGTAAATTGTTAAATATAATTTATATTACAATTTTCGAGAGACAAAAAAGATCTCCTTTGATTAATAATAATAATAATAATATTCAGCTTTTATATTAGAGAAATACAAAAACAAATGTTGGAAAGTAAAGGTGAGAAAGTTAAATTAGAAGAAGAACATGGAACTTTAGTACTTCATTTCCGAAAATGGAATAATTTTAGAGGGACATTGACACAAAAAGGTCACGTAAAGCCCCGCCCAGTTATACCGTTCTAGTTTGACTAGATATACTAGTTACGTGACGTCCACACACAACACATTCCGTGATTAGGCGTGATTAGACGTGATTCTTTATACGTCGTATAACGAAACGCATGTTTGGGCATCGTTTCGTTATACGACGTAGCTGTGCGTTTAATGGGAATGGGGTGTATGAGGGTGTCGTGTTTTTGTTTGGCTATATGTGTATGTAGTTTGGTGATGTGTTTATATGCATGGGTAGTACTGTGTTTTATTTAAAGAGTAATATTGTTTTATGTACAACTCATTGTTTGATTTAAAAAAAAAAAAAAAAAAAGGTATGTATATTTTGAGTATTGTTGTTCTATATGTTGTTTTCGATGAAAAAGAAAGAAGAAAGAATTTACTTTGAACTTTTAACTAAAACTGATTTAATTTCTGAATGATGTAATTTTTTATTTACTTTGTTTTGATTTTTGCAACTCTTGTTTGGAAGAAAACAAATCATTAAAAAAGGCACCTCGCTGACTGAAATAATCCTGATTCTAAGTGTTTCGAGAAGGCGAAGCGAGCGAGGAAGAAAAATAGTATTTATTTCCTCATGAAACTACTTGTGGTTTCTAATGTTTAGATTTCACGACATTGACATTTTTCAAATATACATTTGAAATAAAAAAAAACCTTCGGTGTTTAAAGTCAATTTACTTCGGCCTCCCTACTATTCATAAGGGATTTGATAACTTTAAACTATCTACTATATTATAGAAGTTCAACTGATGAGATTATGGGTGCGTGAAACTTTAAAAAAAGGCGTTCGGTTGTCAGGTGCCTCTCTCGACCCAGGTGTAGCTAAGTATATAATTTGAAGACACCCCAAGTTGTATTTATAGTTGTATCATCATGACAAGGGGCAATAATCATGACTTGTAAAGTCAAAGTTGTACCGCAACTCCACGAAGTCAGTAAAAGGCTAAATGTATTGAAATCAACGTAACATTTACACGACCAGTCAAGACTAGATTTTACAAAGTTCGACCTGTAAGCCACCATTTCCCGTCAGCTCATCCCGGAGAACGTGTTTGTTTCCTCTTGTTTCCTACCCCTATTGGATGGGGAAGGGGGAAGCTAATATACGCTGTCAAGATGGGGGAAAAGGGCCTAATCTTAGATTTCCGCCTCTGATGAAGTTATTCTCTACCCTTTTAATCTATTAATTCTTCACAAATAGCGTTTAATTTGGTGATTAATCTCATTTGATTACCCGAAAAGTGGAAAACAGAATGGTGTGATCTTTTGGAGGCGTTCTCTTTATAACATGTTGTTGTTGCCATAGTTGAAAATAGATTTTTTTTGTCATACAGACGGGGATAAAATGTAATGTAGACACAAAGCAGAGAGAGAGAAAGGGCGGGGAGGGACAGAGAGAAAGAAATAGGGAGAGAGAGAGAGACAGAGTGGGGGGGGGGGAGGTTGGTTATGGGAGGCGATGAAAAAAGAATCATTAATAAAAACAAAATAGACATGCAAGATATTGACAGAGAGGGAGAGGGTTATAATAAAAACTTATCCATAAGTAACTTAATCCTAAGCTTTAAACATTGTAAATATCGCTTTCATACCCCATTGCCGTGATTTGATCTATATAATTATGTAATCAATTGTTGATGCATTGTCTGTTAAAAAAAAGTTCTTGACAACTTGTTAAAGGCGCTTTTGAAATACCATGTACTGTTATTATGATAAAAGTAACTTATTCCATATCTATTAGAATCCCGATCATGTTAAACAAAAATCAGGGATCGAAATTTTGTTCATAACACGTTTTCATTTCTTTTCATTTCTTTCCCAGAAATCAACACTGGTGGCAATACAAGAACAGGTGAGGAAAACTTTCAGTCATTTTCTTTTCCTTTCCTCCACCATTCATTCAATCAAAATCGTCTTCAGAGAATGTTGCTCGAACTGGAAAGGAACTTGTCATTGATCCAAGAAAATTCACCCGATTGATGCCAACATAAAGAGATGACTGTGGACATGGAGAGAGACACAGAGATAGAGAGATAGAGAGAGAGAGAGAGAGAGAGAGAGAGAGAGAGACACACACACACACACACACACAGATAGAGAGAGAGAGAGAGAGAGAAGAAGAAGAAGAAGAAGAAGAAGAAGGAGCAACAAAATAAAGATGTTTATCGAATGTTCTCTACGGCGGTATGTTAACCGTGGGCAAACAAAATCGTTAAGATTTATTTCAATAATCTGAGAACTACTCACTTCCTCGATATTCTTGATTTTTCCTTGACACTTTGATTCAATTAAATTTTAAATCTTAAATGTCTAATAATAATAATAATAATAATAGTGGCTACTTGTATAGCGCACAGGTCCACCTTTCGGTGCTCATGGCGCTTAGAAAAGAGTACATGTAACAGGCATAAGAAAGAAAAAACAATAAACCGAAAAACAAATTCGGAATTCTCCTAGACATAGTAAATTAAAATATTGCAATAATTACAACGAAAGAAACAAATAGGTTTTTAGTTGTAATTTGAATGTTTCTGTCGATGACAGTTGACGTAATTTTAGAGGGAGCTTATTCCACAGTTTTGGACCCATGGCTGAGAAAGCCCGTTCACCCCAAGCATGTTTTATTCTGGGTGTATTAAGTAATAGTGTGTCTGATGAGGAGCGAAGACTTCGTGTGGGGTTGTATTTTGAAACAGAGTTGCTCAGGTATGTAGGGGAAGAAAGAGAGTAAACTGAATGATGTACAAGTAACATAATTTTAAAAATAATCCTTTTTTCAACTGGCAACCAATGGAGAGAACGGAGAATTGGTGATATGGAATCAGATTTCTTAGTGAATGTTAATAGGCAGGCTGCAGAATTTTGAAGTCGTTGCAGTTTTGTGACATCTTTTTTTGGAAGGTTACAGAACAATGAATTTGCAAAATCTAAACGAGAAGAAATTAAAGCATGAATTAAGATCTCAGCCGCAGGTTTAGATAAACACTTTCTTATGAAACTTAGATTACGTAATTGGTACCTTACACTCTGTTGAACTTGTGTTATGTGACTACGAAGTTAAATGTAAAATCATTCTTTGAAAGTACAACGTAAAGTCCCTTGGAAAACAGGTAATTTTCTTGACATTGTAGATTGAGAGTAGTTGTCTATCATTAAAATGAAATTGCATAACTAATCTTAATGTCAAAGAAAGAAAAAACATTAAACAATGGATAACGAAACATGTTATGAATATGTTTAGTTGTCCTTCATCTCCGTGACTTCAATGTTCTCCCTCTTTTGAGAAACTCTAAAATGTAATAGGAAAAGAATAAATGTCCCTGGTTTCGGCCGTATTCCAAGACACCCTTATTTTGCAGCATGGTCAGACACCTGATATTACCAACCCCTTCAGTTGCGTACTGGTATGGGGGTGTCAACAGTCTTAAACACTATAACTAACAAGGACCACGGTTAAGGGGGATCTTGAAAAGGGGTTCTATTATTTGTTTTAACGTTCCATTATTCATTTCCCCGGTCCTTCCTTCCCCTTTCCTCTCTTTCTAAGACAAACCGGCATTGATATAATACGTAGTAAATTAGAAATTCCACAGTTATGGAGAGGGTGTTAGAGAGGTCGAACACCTTATTTTTTTACATTCTCTTTCCTGCTCCAATTATTTCCCTCTTTCCCTCTTTCCCTCCCATATCCCCCATCTCACTTCTTTTATCACCATTCGATGGGGGAGGGGAAAATACATGCACTCAGTAGATACGCCACTGCTCCCCCTTTTCTTATTGCATAGTTCCCATGCGATCCCCGTCCCATGCAACCCCCTGCCAGACGTAAGAGAAGGTACCCTGGTTGACCATAATAGGTCAGCTTTGGCCATATTACAAAACGTGCATATTTCTCAATACCCCCCCCCCCCCCATGGCGTAGAGCGGGTCACACAATGGAGCGGGCCCGGAATCATAGAGGGGTGGGTGCACAAGTTTTAATAGGGGGTGAAGAAGTAATTAACGTTACCGATTAGGGAGGGTACGTCGTGGAAAGGGGTGGGTGGGTCTATTACATTTCATTCTCTCTCTCTCTCTCTCTCTCTCTCTCTCTCTCTCTCTCTCTCTCTCTCTCTCTCTCTCTCTCTCCATCTAGGAGGTAGGAGGCCGAGTTGGGGAGGGTGTATTTACCCGTATCCTTGTATACGCTCCTGTCAATTTCTTAGTCCACCCCTGCCAGACCTTCGGGGAGTATCCCTAAGGATGTATCTCATTTCCCGCTGTCCATCAATCTAATTAAACCATCACAAATACATGTGGATGACAGGGAGGGGGGGGGGGGAGCATTGGGAGCAAGTAACCCTAGATGCAATGTAGGGAACTTAGGGGGATCACAGACAAGGTAAATCCATTGCCTATGTTTAGCCTGGATTTCTTCATTAATTTGTGTGTGTCCAAAACCGAGATTGTAAAGTGTGTGTAAAGGTTATTAAACTATTAATGTTAGTTTGTTTTGTTCCCTCACTTCATACGTGCAGATGTTTGCTTTAATTCTGACCCTCAATCCAGGGTAAAGTGCAATGAAATCAGCTGCCACGTAGTATCCGATGTCTTTATTAAGTATTGAATAATCAATAGTACGATTTTTTTTTTTTTACGGGGATGGATGTTTGGTCATGGGCGCAATTTCAGCGTTTGGGTTTGGCGCCTCCCCCCCCCCCCCCCATTTTCCTTAGATACACTTCTGACAAAATCCCTCTATTGACCTATTATTAGTTCAGCTATTACTAGCTGAAATAATAAGGGGTCAATAGAGGGCTGAAATTATTAGAATGTTTTCCCATTAAGCGCCCCCCCCCCCCATTCGCAATCATCATTTCAGTAAATATAGAGGAATGACAACTAGCAAGGCCTATCGCATAATCGTTAAATATGGTCAGGCTAGATACGAGTAGTTCAGTAGTTTACTCATTCTACATTCATGCAAAGGTGTAGTTCAGGTGGGGAACTGTTGGAGAAAAATATTGTTTTGCCTACCGTCAGACTGCATAAGTCATATCATGAAGGGCGAAGTTCGCCATTATCTACGTGATTTAGCTTTATAACATGATGACGTGGATCCTAATCAAATGATTGATTGAGAGCGTACACGTGACCAGGCATTTGTATTACCTAACACGCAATTTTGATAATGACCAGTCATTAGTAAAATCATGTTATAAAACATCATGTTATACAACAAATAATACACATCATTTTGTTCGGGCATTAGTAAAATTACCCACACTCGGTACCTTCAAAACGGTCCAAACACCCTCGGCTATCAAATCGGGCGTGTTAGACTGTTCCAAAGTTACCTTGTATGCCCTCACTGCTGTATATTTTAATCCCCCATTAGAGCACTCGATACCTCCTGGCGTTCATGAGTGGTTAAAAACACAATAGGGGTGTAGACTCTACTATACCCCAGACACTATCCATTCCAGTCACATCACATAATATTTAAAAAACAAAACAAAACAAAATTAAAAACCCAACAACAATGCATAATTATTATCTTCATGCGAGAAAGCATCCAGTGGTCAGTCAGTGAACCCATATTGTAGGACAATATTAAAATTAACTTATGCTCGTTTGAAATTCACTCTTAGCGTATCCCAAGTACACGAGAGAAAAGAAAAACCCTCCCTTCAAGTTTCGCAAATTTTCAAGTCAAAAGGTTCCTCGGAGAAAAAAAAATGTTTATGGTTTGTCAGATTGTTTTGGTAATCACTATTAAAACATAAAGAAAATGTGATTACCCCTTTCCACTTTATTTTTAAATTATGTCTTGAAACCTGAATCCGCCGTAGCTCCCGTATCATTTATCAATTGTATATCAACTGAACTATGTTTAATCTTAATTTTGACCCACGGTCTATTCAACCAATCCTAAGTTTGTACTGAGTTGTAGGAGCAATCTAGAACTGCAGCTAGTCAAATAAAAACTCTTTTTTCCTTTTCTTATTCTCTCATCAGGCAACTGTCGTAAGAGATGCAAGAATGGAGGAAGTCTTCAGCAATCCGCCTGTGAATGTGACTGCCCTGAGGGATGGTTTGGCGATGATTGCTCATGTGAGTATACATTGTATGTCTCTCGAATTCCTACATAAACTGCACACTGTGGAGCAGCGTGGATCCATGCAACGAGGGGGCACAGTCAGGGGCGTCGCTAAAGGGGGGGGGGGATGGGGTGAGACATACCCACCTGTCAGGATATTGTCGGTAAAATTGCGCTGCCGTCGGGAAAAATGAGAAAAGGGGGAGTGGAAAAATGAGGGGGAAATAAAAGAAGAAAACAAAAAGAAAGGAAAGAAAAGAGAAGAAGGAAAGAGAAGAAGGAAAGAGAAAATGAAAAAAAAGAGAAAGGAGAGGAAAGAAATGAAAAGAAATAAAAGAAAAGGAAAAAATAGAAGAAGAAAAAAGGAAAACAAAAGAAACGGGGATGAAAGAGAGGAGAGAGAGAGGGGCCTTAAAGAGAAGGATGGGAGTACGAGAGAGAGAGAGGAGGGTTGTTGGGTGGAGTCGTCTCGTCGAGGGAGCAAACTGGATACGCATAGAAACGTTGCTTTGTCGGGTCAGCTGTGTCGGTATTCTTGCTTGATCCTCGTGTTCGATATCAATGCAGAAGTTGGAAGTCGGTGAAATGTGTCGGTCGGCCGTTAAACTTTTTCCCCCTACGAACTGTGACTCTTTATCCGATGTGACGACTTCGAGAGAGACTACAACTACGCCGGCCAAAAAAAAAAAGAGAGAGGGAGAGAGAGAGAGAGAGAGAGAGAGAGAGAGAGAGAGAGAAATATATCAGAGAAAAGGGAGCAGACAATAAAACATTTTTGAAAATTCAGACGAGCATTAAAAGTCGAGAACGGTACAACGAATCGTCTGCTTTCCGCTAATAATTCGATAAAACGTCAAAGCTTCCGCGCTTGGCGCGAGAGGGGGGGGGGGGGAACTGATTTCAGACAAGAATTAAGAGTCGAGAACTGAATAATGAATCGTCTTCTTTCTCTAATAATTTAATGAAACGTCAAAGCTTCCGCGGGAAAAACTAAATCCAGACAAGGATTAAGAGTCGAGAACGGTACAATGAATCGTCTGCTCTCAGCTAATAATTTCATGCAACGTACGTCAAAGCATCCGCGCTTGGCGCGAGAAGGGGGGGGCTGATTTCAGTCAAGAATTAAGAGTCGTGAACAGAACCACGAATCGTCTTCTTTCTCTGATCATTTGATGAAACGTCAATTCCGCGCTTTGCGCGGAATTAAACTAAATACAAACAAGGATTAAGAGTTCAGAACGATCTTCTTTCTCTAATTGTAATTGTAAATTGGAAGACGCTAGACAGGCACATACCTACTTTCAGTGTAGGCTATATGCTGATTGGGCTACCCTTTTTTAATAATTGAAATAAAAAGACAAATAAATAAATAACAATAATGTAATGAAACGTCAAAGGCTTCCGCGCTTCGCGCGGAGGAGGCAAACTGGATTCAGACAAGGAATAAGAGCCGAGAACGGTACAACGAATCGTCTTCTTTCTCTAATAATTTAATGAAACGTCAAAGCTTCCGCGGGGAAAGTCCCCTCTCCCGTGCACTCTGTAAATAATTCGCCCCCAGCCCCGGGTTTATAGACATTGGGACATTGGCATTAATATTTTTGTCGGTAATTGATGGCTAGTTTTGTCTATAATCGGTGGTCTCTACACCCCCCCCCCCTCCCCCACTGAAAAAGGTCTGGCGACACTGGCATCATGAGGGAGGGAAAACAGTCTCACTACAGGTGGATGAAATATGAATTAACACTGGTTTCGACTGGTGATGTATTGAAAGGATCCTTATGCTTATAGTTATGTATAATTCCCTTGTCACAACTCTCCCCTTATTTCTCTATCTTTCCCCCTGCAATTCGATGGCTAGGAGGGCACGTGCCCTATGTGCCTTTCTTTGTTCTCGTATCAGTTTCGCCAGTGACTCCAAAATCCCTTTAGACTATAAACTTACACATTGATATCCTGTTTACATAGTTGATTATATTATACAATATAAACCTAACCTTTTATTCATGAAATATGTTAGGTATTCTTTGTCAATTAGGCACACTGACCCAATTAAAATATACAAATAGGAAATCGACTTTACTATTCATCCGTTTTATGATTCGGATTATTATTATTATTATAATTATTATTCATTTCTGTTTCCTCGAAAGTGGAATGCCGGGACAAGTTCCACCACTGCCAATGGTCTACAAGACTATGTGACAATCGCGATTACGCTCGACATTACTGCCCAGTTTCGTGTGATCTGTGCTCACCACCACTCGACATCGCCGAGTGATCCCGAAACCCTCCGAATGGAACTAGACTACCTATGATGATGATTGAACGATCCCGTGAACGATTCTTCGGAAAATTTTGACCAAGTTTGATTGAAAGAAAACCTAACTAGGTGTTCGATATCCGATTGTAAAGGTATATTTTGAGATATTTTTGTGTCGGTCTTCAAGTCTCTATTTCCCGCTCTTTTTTCATTCGTCAAATAAAATATATCGATATTTATTTAGATCTACGGATAGTACTCGTGGCATGGTTGTTAATGTGCAAGGAACTATGCAACTGAATTTCCATTAGACTTTCAGTGTTATAATTGTAGACGTAATGAATGACGTCACCCTTTGGGTAGTATAGGGTTTTTATCTCCGAATGACCACTATATATTCAACAAACCATGATAAATGCCATCGTAAAAAATTACTTTATTTATTTATTCTTGTTTATATTGCTTTATCACCATGATCGATGACGAGCAAATCGGTAGATTGGAAACAAAACATCGTACAAGTTTATCTCTATGTAAAGCGCATAGAGACATACCTTGTATGCGCTATAGAAATATAATTTATTATTATTATTATTATCTCATAGACTTAAATGTATAGCAACGATTGCTCAAATATCATAGATGGCCGTATTATTGATCTGAATCTAACTGAAAGATTATTGGATAATGTTAAGATGATCATGTAAAATGAGCCAGATTATAGGCCAACATTTCTATGTTCATTATATATATGGTGACAGTGATATGATATTTATATTGACGTTTCGGTGAAATGTATTCATAAATCGATTACAAAATATTAGAATACAAACTCCACTCCATTATGAACGTTTATGACAATTCATTTTTCTGTATACGAAATCATATTGTTGTGTATATTGTATGGTAGCAATTTGTAATGTCACCTTGTAAGGTTTTGATGAACTTGAAGTCTACAGAAATAAGAATATTACTTAGTGATATGAAAATATTAAAGTTAGATTGAAACAGTCAATTCTATTGATAGACAATGATTTCTCATGCTATGGTAAATTCAGGTTGGGAAACCAACGATTTTTTGGAGACAGAACTAAAAGTTGATTACCTCATTCAAGTAAACCTGAATTATTTAAAATGAGGTTCGACCACGAGAGTGTATAGGGCCTAAGAAATGGCAAAACAGCAAGTTTCTCTTTTCAGCAAAGTACGACAAATACATTAAAATCAATTTGGGATTTAAAAAAATGTAAAATGCAATCACTTTACAGCTCGTACTTCAAAATATTACCTTTAAATCGGTAAGACAGTTTAATTGGAGTGCTGAAAATGGACAATTCTATGCCAGAATAAATAGACCACGTGAGTTTGAAGACGATCTGTTTATGATAATGATACACAAATTGTTAGGTTTAAAACAGATCAGGGAAACTATTGTATTGTAATACAAGTGAAATAGTGTAATAGAAAATAAGTCTAAAACAACCATCATGTTTGTTGTTTAATGGCCCATGTAGGTTTCGGGATTATTGATAAGCGAATTAAAGGGTAATAAATAAGACGTCGAATCTAGTGACTTTCTTAATCAGATTGCATGTTCCCAGATCACTTCCCTGTACATGAAAATGTATTTATCTGTTTTACAGGGGTGTTGTTACTGGGGGTGTTGGGCACTTGCCTCCCTCGATAATTACGCGAAACTGGGACCGACGCCTCTGCTAATACATTGCAAGGTCATGTTCATACATGAACAAAACGTCAGATAGACTTCTTAAAATTAATTGCAGTAAGCTCCCATTCTAAAAATACACGCGGAAATATAAAATATAGCTTTCTTGGACATGTCCGCCTAAGAAATTGAATTAGAATCTCTAGCTGTTCCCGCCACCCATATTGGATGAATGCCACGAAGGTGAATTAGAAGAAACCACGAACCGGACAAATAAAGTAGGCACGATTTCCCCGATAAAAGGTCATGTAGAATGACATGTAGAAGACTTGGAATGCAGAAGTTTTTTTAAGGAGGGATTTTATTATTAATGTGTCTTGACGTAATTGCTTGATGTAACGTCAGTATGAGAAGTCGATCTTCTGTTAATTTTTTTATTTAAAAGGGACTAAAAGCTGTTCCTGTATTCCCAAAACACGCCCAATTGTTCTTTTATAGAGTAGTTGTGAAGTTTGTTATGATGGTATTAGTTTTTTTTAAGGATGAAATCGTGATAGTACTGATATTTTGATAAGGCTAGTGTCTTATTTCATAATCATCGTAATTTTCTTAAAATACAATTATTTCATAAGGGGAAGGTTTCATAATAAAAAATATGACGCCAAAAGGAGAGGCTGATCAAACTGTCATTCTTAGAGCTTAAATCACGATAGTGTAAAATGTGGAAATGTGTTTTATTTTGGTAATTATTCTGTTAACGTTGTTTAAGAGTCTAAATGACTTACCTGACATGTTGAAAGAAATATGATTCATAAACTTGTCTTCTAATTTTGAGACATACGTAACTTAGAGACATAAACGTGTATAAATCTAAATGATTGCTCAATTGTAAACTAATTCAGTATTCTACTGAATGTTAGATGTTTCGAGGATGTTATTTAAATGTAAACAAGTACCATGTAAATTTCTGTAACAAATTATTTTATTGTGTGTATAGAATGTGTTGGCGATATATATAAGCACCACTGTCCATACAGGGGGAGGTTTTTTTGTTGTGTGTATTCTACCTGTATAGCAATTAATCATTATTTTATGTGTACAGTGAATAAATTGTGAATGTTATGAAAACAAAATGTGTGATCGAGACATGTTATGAATATTGCTTAAATGTATATCTTTACTCTATACTTTCATTTCTGTAGTATCAATTGTTTTCATGTACATGTACATGATTTAAGGACAAATACTCCCTTCCTATGGAATTGTCCGGGGTTATAATAATCAGAATTATTGGGGAGGGGGTGTAGAGATGATACTAATTTTCCCTCTCTCTCTTTCTTTCCAACATCTATATCGGCCTATTGTATTATTTAATTTATATACACTCAATGAATTTTATACTAATGAAAATGATATTTCGCTTCATTTCTTTCCACATGCTTATTACGTTCTTAATTTCAACATTACTTCCCCTCTACAAGTTGATATCAGCCATGCAGCGGTGACGCTCCTTGGGGCAGGAGCACAGTGCCCCCACTTTTCTAAGTGACCCTTGTTAAACTTTTCCTTCAGATGAGGGCCCTCTTTCTTTCTTAAAGATTCCCGCTCTACATTCTTATGAATGACGCTTCCCCTCCACTTTTCACCTCTGATAAATGCTCCTATACTATCTGATAGGTGTCCCTTTGCCATTCTCATAAGTGTTTTTTTTCCTTCATCTCTGACGAGTGCCTCTTTTCATGTGCGGAAAGTGCCCCTTTTCACCTTTGATAACTGTTTTCTCTTTGACGCGTGCCCCTTTTTCGGTTCTCATAAGTGTCCTTCTTCAGCTCTAGCTGGCGAGTGAAAATTATCTTTTTCTAAACGCTTTGACACATGCTCCTCTTCTTTTAGTTTTAGTGTTCTTTTCACTTGTGAAAAGTGCCCTTTTCATTTTGAAATATGCCACCTTTTCCTTTCAAATAAATGCCATTTTCCTTTTAATGAGAGCACCTTTGGTTTGAGGTTTCCCTTTGTAGGTGCTGCTCTTTCCAGAAAGTGCCCTTTTTAGTTGGTGCCACATCCACCCCTCACTTTTGAAGACCCTGCATCCATGTTAACGTTTGACTCTGTTCTTTCTCTTTCTGTAAATCTTCCTGCCAGTCACTTTAAGAATGGTATAATCGTATAGTCCTTGTAAAGAGCAGTGGTTTCTACCCTGCTCTTGTCATGTGTTAATAACATCAATCTCTCAATCTTATTTAAAACGTCTTAAAATAGACTGCTATCCGACATCTGAAAATCACTGTTCATTTCCCTCAACTCATCAAAAGGATAGATTTAACCAACAAACTATATCCCCTTCCCTCTTTAACTGCTGTTGATGAGGATATATTTGATTGAAAAGAGAAAAATCAAATTCAAATTTCAGAGTAAGGTAAATTGCAATATCTTACCTATGGATAAAAGCAGGAAAATGATGATGACGGTTTAAATTTTGCTGTACATACATGAAGAAAATATTCTCCTGAAGAAAGTATGGACACAGCTGGAGCCACACAAGCGATATAGAAACTGATTTATACTCTGCAAAAAAGATAGGTACCCACCAAAATCGTCAATGCAGCGGTACATATTCTGTGCACCTAGAAAATTTGAAAGAATTAAGGAACAGCGAAAGATAAAGACAGTGCGAGGAGGGTAAGAGGGTGGGTGGGTGGGGGGGGGGGGGGGAAGGGAGGGAGAGAGAGAGAGAGAGAGAGAGAGAGAGGAGGGGGGTGTAGGAGGAAGAATGTAATTTTAAGGCACTTGGAGAAGAATTGAGATTAGAAAATAAGAGGCAGCAGTGGATAAGGCACAAATAAAACAGAGCCTTCCAGCAAATCCATTTTTAACTCTCTCCTAAAATTACATGTGATTGATTAAATGGTGAGGTACAGTATGCTCCATTAAATGGATCTTTACTTCTAACAATTGTCTGACAAGGCCATATCAAATAGTTTAACATCTAAGTCCCTTCTAGTGATAAGAATAGCATGATGTCAGTAATCACTAGCTTCAGGATGATAGATTTGTGTACACATTCTTCAACTGCTATGGGATGCACTATTGTTTACAGATTTATCAAAATCCTTACCATATACCGGTACATGACACATGCCCTGCATCTGCTACTTTATGCACTATGTGTTTCTTACTTAAAGTCTTCTGTAATAGGAGAGAGATTGGTACTAAAGGGCTATTGAAATCCAATCTATTATTAATAAAGATGTAGTACAAAATTAAAAACTCCTGAAATTGAGCCGACATGTATCTACTGGTTTGGTTTGATTTGGTAATCTCAAAAAGTACTACAAAAGCATGACAAAAGACAAATACACTTTGTAACTTACAGAGCTATGTTTGAACTGCTTAAGCTAACAAAAAGTGCATTGTGGCTCAAATGGCCAAACTTTGAGGCACATATCCCATAAAACACAGATGAAATTAAACACACGTGCTTTGGTTTATTCTCTGATCGTATGCCAAGCCATATTTAGAATATCCTTTAGAAAACAAAGTTTTCTACACAAACTGGCACACATGTGTCAGATGCAACATACAGCTCGATAGAAATAAACTGAGAAAGTCTGAGATACAAGGTTGAAATAACATATCACTTGGAGCAAGGGGGTGGGTGATTGGGAGAGAAAAAGAGGGAGGGGGAGGGAGAGGGAGAGGGAGGGAGAGGGAGAGGGAGGGGGAGGGAGAGAGAGAGAGGGAGAGGGAGGGAGAGGGAGGGAGAGGGAGAGGGAGGGAGAGGGAGGGGAGGGAGAGGGAGGGAGAGGGAGGGGAGGGAGAGGGAAGGGAGGGAGAAGGAGAGGGAAGGGAAGGAGAGGGAGGGGAGAAGGAGGGAGGGGAGGGAGAGAGAGAGAGAGTAAGAGATAAAAGAGAGAGAAAGGGGGGGGGGGAGGGTTGGTAGAGGAGATATGGAGAGCGACAATAAAACTTTTATACCTTTTATCAAGAACCAATGCATCAACAAAATGCTCCTCACTGTGCATGTACAGTATTTAATACATTGATTTCAAGCTACATTCTCAAAATTTTACGTCTGTATACAGTTTTAGAATCTTTCATTATACATGAATTTACAATTACATATTCCACATATTTACAGTAAAGCATATTTACAGCAAAGCAAATTCACAACCCTTAAAGAGAAGGTTTATTGATTTAAAAAACTAACTTTATTGTCATTATTGGAAAGGTGACACTTTGATTGACCAAGGTTATCAAAAGCCAATGCTTGGAAACATACAAAGTAATGATTATTTATTATTATTAATTACAAAACGCTTAAGTACTGCCCCGGCATGGCACCTGAAAAGCTCTCCGGTTGCTGCTGAGATATGACGTCACATGTTGAACATGACGTGCACAAGCAGACGATGTCCCATGACATCTCACACAATTTCAGTGCCTGTTTTGTCATCTTTTCTTCAGTTATTTCTCTTCCTTCAATAACCTCAGGCGAAATGTTTAATCTATTGCCTCACTCTAAACCCAGTGCATGGTACTATTTTGATGAAAAATGCAAGGATAAACAAAAAAAAAGAATCCGTCGCTTGTAAACAAATAAGACGCCATTGTATTTTCAGCTGCATACACTACGGCATGATCGGCGTTTCAAGAGGGAACAAATGACATCCATGCTATCATTCCGGAGGTTTTTTAATTTGAAAGTATGGTTTCTTTGATTGTTCATTAATCCTTATCATGTGTATTTACAAACAAAAGAATTTAGTTATCAGACTTGGGGTCACATCCCTTTTTGAATGGTGTAAAATTCCATCACATTTATATACACTAAACTCATTATAATTTGAGAAATAAAAGCATTGCAATTATGTTCATTCTTTAAGGGATGTCGTCTGCTTGGGCAGGGTTGGTTCATATTGTGACGGCATTAAAACATCATTATTTTTCTGGCGAATCTCTTGCATATCCCAGATGTGATGGAGGTTGTGTTATTTGTATAAATCACCCGATATGTAGTTGACCTAAATCTTGCATGATGGCCATCCGTTAGCTTGCCAGTTTCTAGTAATACGCTATTTGCCATATTTGTGATTTTCTATGAACCCGCACTTTAATACTGCATTTAAAAGAATACAAGAAGTGTATATTAAAGGTAAAGACCAGTATTGGAAACGCCCCAATTTCAAAAAATGAAATGGAAGCTCTCATTACCAATCATGTGAAAGAATATGTTTTGACTAATACATGATGATAAAAATTTGCCGTGAAACTGCCTACTAATTCATATATTTGGTAAATTTGTTTCTCTCATGGTCTGTGAGAGATATAGGGTAGTCCCATATACATCTTTCTGTGTATAGTGCTTGTAACTTTACGAAGAATGGGCCAAATTTCTTATCATTTTGATGATTCCAGAACCTTGCAGATGCTAGATGCTAGATGATCAACCTTTCTGATCGATTCCACAACGTTTCTTTCACAATGCAATCGCATGACCATAACTGGTCTTTACCTTTAATAAATGACACTTCAGTTTTGAAATAACCATCAGCATTAGTAAATTGTATTTTGCCTACAGAATGTGTAAATAGAATTTGGAAAAAATATCACACACCCATATTCACAAACCGACACTTGATAACAATGTCACTCTCATTGCCTCGTTTACAGTGAAGATTCAGTCATGTCAAAAATCTGTACCAGATTCTGGTGTCCAAGTCTTTTCTTATTTCCTTGATCAGAGCATGGACTCAGTCCTGTAGAAAAGCTGTATCGGCTGATATAACAAACTGAAAACTCATGTCTCTTCTTGTTGCATCACTCCGAATGGGGATATTTTTTTCTATAAGAAGAAGTTGCCTTATGCACAGTGAGGATTTAGTCCTGTTGAAAAGCTGTACCAGACTCTCTTTGGTACCTACATATTTTCTTGTTCCCTCTGTCTGAGGATTCAATCCTAAAGTACAATTTTGAATGACTTTGTACCCAACTCTGTTTGTTCCCCATGTAATTGAGTCTTCAATCCTGCAGAAGAGCTGTGATGGCTGATGTAACAAACTGACACCTAGTAGCCATGTCTCTTCTTGTTGCCTCAATAAGAGTGGCTGGGGGCTGAGGGTGCTGCATCTCTTTCTGTAAGACCACTTCAAGCTCCTTGAGACTCAAGCTCAGACGAGATGGTTTCAATAACGCTTTGGCCTGAAGAATGAAAATATAGAAGTGCGTTTATGAGGAAGTGTGTTTATCATACCGATATGCAAAAGTGTAGCATGTAGCCATCTGCCTAAGTACTGATTAGTAATGACAGACTAGTTAGTACTATTTACCCCACACCAAATCTAAAATAATGGGCAAGGGTAGTGTATGTATTACCAGTATATAAAATAGGCATTTTTTTTTCATATATGATATACGATTTATTGTTAAAATTCAATATCTAACGAAATAAGGTCTTTGCATTAACACCACTTCACAGGATATTAACATTTATTCTAATAATTTAGCCATAATAATTTAGACAATAGCCGTATTACACAGTCATTCGTTTAGACAATACAAAATCTTTATCCTAACCAAGGGAAACGCTCTTGGCGGTCTCGTCTGCATTACGCAATTTAATATGATGAAAAGTTGAGGTTGGGACATTATTTTATAGCCGGGGTGACTCATTAGCAGGCCCCCCAAAATGAAATCCTCTGAATATAATCTTTATTTTGACTTATATTATTTGTACCAAGATTGATAACTTTCATGAAATATGAACAAATAACAAAAATTGATTTATTAATTCACATATTAAGTTGTGAAAACATAATCCAAGTCTAATAATAATAATAATAATATTTAATTTTTATATAGCGCTTAATACAAATGTCTCTAAGTGCTTTACAAATATACTATTACCCCTGTCATTGGATTCAGTGCTTGCCCGCACACACTGTGTGCACAACCTCCACTCCCTGGGGAGCATTCCAGCCGGGCGTTACTTGACGCTCACAAGCTGTTTGACCAACAATGACGGCCACATCCTACCGGGTACCCATTTGACACCTGGGTGGAGAGTAGCAAGTCTACTGACCTAAAATGACCTTTGACCTTGATTTTGTGACCTGAACTTGTTGTTATATGATTTGTGATACTTGATAACCCTTGGGTACAGTTTCAAGGAATTTGAACAAACACTTTTGAAATTATGCTAAAAAATTGAAAATCTTGATGATGATGCCACAACAAGGTCTAAGTTTGCAGACCTGAAATGACATTTGACCTTGAATTTATCACCCTAAAAGATTAATCACAAGATTGATGATACTTGATAACCCTTATGTTCAAGTTTCATGGAATAGGAATGTATATTTTCAAATTTATGATAAAAATTCAAAATCTTAAACTTTGGTTAAAGAGAAGGTTGAGTTCTGGGAAGAGGTGAAAAATAATTTGTGAGCATTACTCATTCTTATTATGCAAGTGTGGAAGAACATCAGATAAGACATGTTCCCTGAAGAGCATGGCTCTTCAAATGCCTTCATATTCTAAATATGCATGTAACATCGTAAAAATCGGGGGGCCGGCTTTTTACGCCACGTGTTCGTGTAGTCCCATATACATCTTTCTGTGTACAGTGTTTGTAACTTTACCAAGTCTTGGCCAAATTTCTTATCATTGTGAGGATTCCAGAACCTTGCAATACACACAAATTCTTATATGCTAGATGATCAACCTTTTCTGGTCGGTTCCACACCGTTTCTTTCACAATGCAATCGCATGACCAGAACTCAACTTCATCTTTAAGTTTTGATGTTGATGACACAACATAGTATAAGTTTGTTGCCCTGAAATGACCTTTGACCTTGACTTAGTGACCTGAAATTCTACTCACATGATTGGGGATACTTCATAACCCTTCAGTCTAAGTTTATTTGAATAAGAACTTATACTATCAAAATTATATTAAAAACTCAAAAGGTTAAGTTTTTAATGATGATGCCACAACATAGTATAAGTTTGTTGACCTGAAATGACCTTTGACCTTGACTTTGTGACTTGAAATTCTACTCACATGATTGGGGATACTTATACTTATACTTTCAAAATTATATTAAATATTCAAACACTTAACCTGAGGTTAAGCTTTTGACGACGTGTTGACAACATGTTGACGTTGCCGCTGCCACCGCCGTCAAAAGCAGCGCCTATGTCTCACTTTTGCTATGCAGACGAGACAACAAATTGATTTGAAATGGGTATTCAAATGTGTTTCAAATATTTTAAGGCTATGAGGGTACATGTACATTAATAAAATAAATCTGATCCGAATGCATATTTGTGTGAAGATTGGTGAAAATTAAAGCATCTAATACATGTTATATAGAGAACAAAAACATTTTCCCTCGTCAGTTTTGCACAGTTTTTCAACAAATGCCTACTAAAGTCTCTAGGCTTGACAACACTTACCTTCTGGCTGTCATACATGAGAGCATACAAGGCACTGGTCACTGTATACTGGGTTTTTAGGTCTCCATTGGTCAAAATGGTCAGAAAGAGACTGACCAATTTATCTGGGTTGAAAGAAAACAAGAATTTTCACATTATTGTCACACTTATTAATCTAAACAAATACTTGATGGAGAAAAAAAAAAGAATAATAAGAGCCAAGAATATTCTTTTACATACATGAACTATATTAAGATAACAAAGATCGTGGTCTTTTTAAAAATTTGATTTTGATTTAGATTTTTTATTTGATAGAGATGACCACTATAAAAAGTTGCAACATTAATTCTATTAAAATATTCGCAATTTGCCAGTAATCTTGTTTTATAAGTAGCCAGATAGCAGAGATTGTGGTCTTTATACACTGCCCTCCAAAAGTTTGGGTACACCTGTAATCCAAACAGATTTTTCACAATCACCCACATTCTATTTATCGTCAGATTAGTGACACTGCAACAATTTGGTATCAAACTGATGAGAAGACATCAGCCTTCAAGTTGACACCAGGAGGGGGGGGGGGGGGGGGGGGGGGTTCATGAAACACTATTCAACATTTATTGACAATAAGCACTCCTTATTCATTAGGACAAACAAGGAGAAGATTTTGTAGAATACCAAAAGGGCAAAATGCTGGCATAACTGACCAAACAGTAACCTCCTTGTTGCAAGGGAATTATATTTTAAGAGGGTAGGTTGCCTTTTTTAGAGCATGACTGCCTCCTAAAACGCTTTACAATTTTGAAACTGGTGTCAACTAGAAGTTAAATGTCTATTCTTCAGTTTGATACCAATTTGTTAAAGTGCCACAAATCTGATGATAAATAAAGTGTTGGTTTTTGTAAAAACTCAGTTCTGATTACAGGTGTACCCAATCTTTTGGAGGGCAGTGTATATAAGTAGTTAACTGAATTATCTATACCCTTACCAATTTTTATAATTTGTTATGTACATGAAAAATTATTTCATCCCAATCAATGTTTTTTGAAAATGTGACATATCAGAGCTTACATCTAATAAAAGTATTCAACAAAGGCCCTAATTCAACCAGTTTCCCTTTCATTCAAGAGATACGAAAAATACAGAAACATCAAATTTACGAGGGGTATGAATAATGTAGTTGTTAAAGGTAGTATGTCCCATTTGCTGGCCAAAAAAATGAAAAAGTTAAATTCCAACTGCATTTGAAAGATAATACTAATTTAGAACTTCCCTAAAAAAGGTGGGGCTTGAAAATGTCTTCAAGTGGGAAAATAACGACTATTAGTCGTCAAATCGACTTTAGGGCTATAGAGCCCAAAAGTAATAGTCTTAATTTTCAGACAATAATGTACCGAATGGTCATACGTTTTATGCCGCGCAAAGATTCAATCAGTTTAATCTTGGCCATCACAAGAAGTGGGTTATTGATGTAGACAAATGCTCATGTACCCTTTACAACTTTTTTTATGTATGTTGTTACCAAAGAAGAAAAAAAGCCAGTCAGTCACTCAATAGTGTCTGACAGTGAAGTCTAGCAAGTAAACGGGTTTCCTTGCATAATTTGAATATGAGGACACTGCTAATGCTTAAATTTCACAGATAGGACATACATGACATATTCATAATTCCTGCAAAGTTCTACAGCATTTGAGGTTGGCTGCAAAAGGGACATAGTACCTTTAACAGTAGGTGGCCACTATACAGGTTGATCATATACATGGATATCTATCACAAGGTGAAGCACTCACCATTTGCAAGTAATCTTGTTTTATTGACAGTCAGATAGCAGAGATTGTGTAGAACCAGCAAGGCAGAGTCTTGGAGAGTAGGAGCTGGACACTGGGTGAAGTCAATTAACAGATCTAGGGCATCTACAAAAAAGAGGTTAAAGAAATAACTACATTGATAGGAAGCAAAGATCAGAGGGTCAATTTTGCTACAAATACAATATTAGTCAAATAAATATATAAGTGCATACTTTCATACCATTATCTTGTGTGTTCCACAAGTTTCTTATGTTACATGTGTTAGAAATGTCTTGTTACATTTGTTGTGAATAGATTAGTGATACATAACATCATCTGAGCAGCAGCTATCTACTTTGATTGGCCCATCTTGGGCTGCTTGCAGGGACTGCTGGTATGACTAGCTGTCAACAATTATCTGTTCATATTTCAATTGAATTAATTCAATTTTATTTTCCTATCAAAAATACAATATTTACATAATGAATACATACAAAAAAATACTGATATTTTGGCCCATATTAAATAAAAAAAGACATTGTTCTTAAGTCTATTTTTAGTCCTTTCAATTCCACCTTCCCCCAATGGCTTCATATCAATGCATCTTTCCCTATGACAAGCATTCTGTTAATCCTTGTGGTTGATTTACAGCTAGTTTATAATTATATTAATTATGTAGAAAAGCAATCAGTACCATAACGCTTACAATATCACAGAATGTGGAGAGAAACATAAAACTCATAAATTAGGTACATCTTAATATATTACAGGGAGAAGAAGCATATTTTAAGGGATCTTTTGAAAGTGGCAAGACAGATTAATTCTCTGTTGGATATTACTCCACGTTTTTGTCCATGACAGCAGTGATTGTGTGTGGGTGTGTCTATTTCATTTCCAGACAGTACTCACAGTGATTTCTCACAATTTCCAAGCAATTTCAAAAGTGAATAATAACAAAATAAATATAAAAATACTGTTAAACATACTACATATGAGATATTTGAGTGTGGGACAGGCAAGAGGAGGCACAGAAATGATAACATCAACTTTTTTGGTTGTGTTTGTTTGCAAGTTTTGCAAGTGCAGAAACTTGTCTGAATATTAATGGACAGGACTACAATAAAGGGTTTGTTGGCCTGTTGGATGACCAAATGACATACTATGTTTTGATGAGGTAATCTTATGCCCGTAGTTTTCTTGAAGTTATGAGAAGGGCCTTCCATTGATTAATTCAATCTGGTTGTTGATATGATTTGGAGTATCTTTCTCTTGTTTTCGTTGCTGCTGTCACAAAAACTGAGGAACCTGGAATAGCTTTCGGGCATGTACATACTTATAATGCCCATGCATGATACGTGTACAGGCGTGCCACCCTACGCCACAGAACTGTATGTTCAGTTCTGTGCCGTAAGTATAGTATGCAAGTCCTGCAAGTGGCCCAAATTACGTTCACAAGGCTACATCCAGGCATTTCAGGAGTTTTGGCAATAGCAAAAATTAATTTCAACTAAAATTTCTAGAAGATTGTTTCTATTACAAGAACTCAAGATTGGCTTTAACAGAAATGCCTCACTTTTGTGAACTCAGAAATAAACATCCATCTCCAGCAACAAGTAAAGCTTTTGAACACATTTCTTAATACATGTATCACACAAACAATGTTTCATTCAATTCAGTCTTCCCACAATATTTTATTTTAACCTTCTTCCTGATGACAAACACAGTAATAATCCTGAGGTTTCCTTACAGGTAGTTTTATGAGTCTCAAGACCATCTTCTTCCCCTTAGAGAGTACCCATTGCTAAGGAAATAGAGGATCTACGTGTGTGGAGTGAATGCTAGTGCTGACCAAAGGATGACCTGTAAGTACACCACAATCTACCTGACCTTGTTTAGAGACCTACCTGCGTCTCCTCTCACTAAGCACAATGATTTATATTTTGTAATCAACACCATATTTTGAGAATTAAAAGGTAAAACTACAAGTAAGGTAATGTGAAGTTCTATATTTTAATCTTCAAAGAAATTAAAGAAACCATTGTACCTAGTTATTTTCAATGAGTTTGACAAAAATATCTTGAAGGTGATCTAAAGGAAGGATAATCAGGGGAAATGTACCAAAGGCAATTAATACAAAATGATTTTTGCCCAGTATTTTATGGCAGTTTTACGCAGCCTTAGAGTGAGTGTTATTTTTTTTTAATGAGACTTTCTTTTTTACCTTGACTTTTTTAAATACCTGGTACCCCTTTTTTCCCTTCTTGTTATTGTTCCATGAAGTAAAAAGTTATCCATCTTTTCTGAATGAGACTTGCAATGTATATGTACTGCCTCTTACTGGTTATGGTTAGAGATTGGCTTCAAGGGAAACTATAGCAACATCAATTTTTGATAACACCTACTTGGTCCAGCGATTACAAACAACATTACCATGTTTATCTGCTCTTATGTTATTTGATCCCAATATCAAATTATATCATAATGAGAGTCATCTGCATCATCTCATTGATTTTTTCTACCCGTCTCAATCATATCAAACAAATATGTACAAGTTGAAATTAAATCCTACTATAGTTTTCAAGCTTAGCGCCTTTGATTAGGCAACTATACTATTGGCGCTTTTTAATTTCCTGGATTGGATTGAATATTTCAAAATAATTAGAGCACATCTGCAGATCTAAGAGAAACACTGTTAGTGTCATGATTAAAAACAACAGGGGTATCAAAATGACATAGAAATGGCATTACTCCAGTATAGGGAAAAACCTCTATGTAAGATATGCTTAGCTGGTTAAAACACCAGGATGAGTCAGTCTAACTGGGCAAGAACTAACCACTGCACCATATGAGGAAGGATAATCACCTTCAAACTCTCCACTGATCTAAGCTTTGAGTTGTTTTGGTCTTATTCCATACAAAGGGGGGAGGGGGGAGACTTGGTAATGGAATATTTTTGGAACAATATAACCAGGTTTTTTTTTTTTTTTTTTGGGGGGGGGGTTGTGTGTGTGGTAAAGGTCAATGAAATAACAACTATGACATGGGAAAAACATCTCCTAGGCCAGTATTAATTTAAGGCAAGAAAATATCCAACTTAATCTTAATTACTTGTATGCATATCTTTACTACATATAAATGGTTTCATATCCACATGTACCTCAAAAGATAACCACAGCTTTTAAAATGGAACAATGTAAAAAAAAAATATTAAAAAAATAAATAAAACAATTAATAAATACATGTATTATAAGTGACTTGGCATTTCAAAACTTTTTGTATACCGGTAGATGCATCATTTCACAATAACAGACCCTTATCTAATCTGATACAATGAGTAAGTTGCAAGTAAATCTTATCTCAAATCTACCATTACTGTTATGAATGACCATACAAATCAATCATGTTTTGGGCTAGGGGAAACAATAAAGATGTCTTAATGAAAAAGTTAATTTGAAGAAAATAAATGAATAAAATAAACAGGGACTCAACAAACAACAACAAATGTTTAAATTGTTTGATAAGGACAGGGGTAGATTACACTAAAAACATACTCTACCATGCTCCCATGTGTTGTTGAGACACTTTGGAGCAATATACATGTATGTGTGATTTAAAAAAAAACTAGATGGAACTTCGACTGCGCGCAGTCGAAAGTGATGCCTCCGTCATAGAGCAATTTTACCAACCAAAATGGAAGAAATTTTCCAAATTCAAGTTTGGTTGTAATCCATTAACAGGTTCTCAGAATATCGTGATTACAAGCTATTTCTCATATACATGTACAACCCTTTGATCTTTGACCTCATGACCCCAAATGCAAGATACATACATGTCTTGAGTTTGATGGTAATCCATCCATCGGTTCTAATGATAATGCAATCACAAGCTATTTTGTGACCTTTGACCTCGTGACCCCCAAATCTAATAAATTCATTGGCTCTGCTAGTTACATACATGACAAAAGTTTGGTAGGAATCCATCAGTCCGTTCTTGAGATAACGCGATCACGAGAATGGGACGTACGTACATACGTACGTACGGACGGACAACCCGAAAACATAATGCCTCCGGCTACTTCGTAACGGAGGCATAAAAAGGGGGGGGGGGGAGGGAGGACATTCCTGAGCTATGTCTAATAATCTAGAGAATATATCATTAATTTAAATATAACCTTCTTCGCAGGGCACCTCAAGAACAAAGCAATTACCATTTCCTAATAGGAACATGGCCAATTAGTATTTAATAGGCAGAGTAGCAGAAAGGTCATAGAAATGTCATTGGTCATCTTATAAATAATTCAATTACAAAATGGCCCTCTTAGCTAGAATTTACCAGTATTGACTAATTGTATTCCTGGTCAATCATGGTGAAGAGGAGACAGTGAAATCAGTTGTTCTTAATATCATCAAAGGTAAAAAAGTTGACATAATGATTGAAATAATTGCTATTTAGAAGTCAAAGCTATTGACTTCAGAGTTTTATGAATTACAAGCCATTGATACCAAATACCAGTATATTTCACAATAACATTACCGGTACCTTAAAATTCCTACTTTAAAGTTTTTTTAATATTTTTAAATGTACATGTATGAGGGGCATCCAAAATGAATAGTTAGTTAAATCAGAACTGATTTTATTATTTACTATATAAATCTATGTATCTACCTATTATTGCTTAGTCCTCCAGACAAAGCAGTCATCAAAATAAACAAGGGAAACGCTCTTGGCGGTCTCGCCTGCATAACGCAATTCAATATGATAAACCAGAACGTCAATGACGTAGCGCTCATCCGCATCTCGCAACAACAAATATCGTAAATTTTATGTGGTACACTTTTGAACTGGTCAAAAAATAAAAATTTGATGCCCTGGAAGGGACATAATTTCATTTCATTTGCATAAAGTACCATAAATAATCAATGGAGCAAAATCTCACAATTCTGTGTAGAAGTTTAGTGTTCCAAATTTAGCTCTACCAGATAAGGCAAACCAAATCAAAATTGGTCAAGAAATGAGGGAAAAGAAGCAGTTTTTGTTATTTTTGGAATAAATTTGCATAAATTACCATAATTAATTAATCGAGAACAATTTCAAAATTCTGTGTAGATGTTTAGTGTACCAAAGTT